GGTTCTTTTTCTGTCTGAGTTATGTCTGAACAGCTACTGTACTGCTTAGTACAAAGTGTGTGTGTGTATGTGTGTGTACGCACGTGCTTAGTCGCTCAATCGTGTCCAACTCTTGCGATTCATAGACTGTAGCCTGCCAGGCTCCACTGTCCATGGGATTCTCTAGGCAAGAATACTGAAGTGGGTTGCCATTTACTTCTCCAGGGGATCTTCCCAACCCAGGAATCGAACCCAGGTCTCCTGCATTGCAGTCAGACTCTTCACTGACTGAGCTACGAGGGAAGCCCCTAGCACAAAGTAGTTCCTCAGCAAATACTTGTAAATGCTTGACTGACCACATGAGTGGATGCCTGAAAGCTCTGCTGCGCTGTTGCCTTGAGGGGAGATGCTGCTGCTACTAGTCATGGAAGGTTGCCAGGGAGGAAACAAGTCTCTGAACTAACACAGTGTATACTTTCTTCTTCCCTCTCCCCAAGATGTGTGTGTGTGTTGGGGGGTGGGGGGCGGAGTGAGGTGGTTGTAGGGACATAAAGAAGTATATAATTATTAGAATTTTTCTGTTGATTTTAACTTTAAATTATTAAATACCGTGAGAACAGCTATGGGATGATGGGGTTTTGTTTGACCTTTTCCCTTTTTTTGCAGATTTTCTTTATTGCATTATTTCGTAACATGATAAAATCAGAAGTTGTTCTTAGAGTTTTTTCCTTTCAAGATGCAGTAAAACCATGTTTAAGGAAACTGGCTCTTTTAAAATCACATTTTAAGAAAAAGCAACATTTTCCTGATAAAATGAAAGTATTTGAGAGTAACCAGTAAATACTAATTCAAAGAGACTAGGTTTATTTCCATGTTTGACACAATAACAGAGGGCTAAAGGGAAGATGGTAGTTTTTAGTTTGAAAATTCAACAGACTTTACCTTGTTACATTCAAGCAAGCTAGTGTATTTTAGTTCAGATTCTATTTCCTGGCAAATTTATATGGACTAAAGGGATTAACAGACATAACAAGACAATTCACAATGAAGGAAAGGGGGGAAAACAGGCAAAAGAGGAAGGTAATTTACTAATTCATCTGTCACTGAAATTAATGGGGAAATGGCATATTTGCCAAAATACAGAGGTAACCTCATATTTAGTGAAAGGCAGACACTGAGTCTTATAGTGAATCACTTTTCTTATTTAGGTTTTCAGTGCCTTTTTTTTTTTTTTGCTTCAGTGCATGTGTTTGCCCTGCACAAAGTTGTTCCTGTATTATGATGAGAAATACTCTCAAGTCAGTTTGATGCTGTTGAAAAGGATTTGTGCTCAGGATGGCAGTGTTAATCTCCAGAGCTGCCAGTGTAGGGACAAAAGCATTTAGAGTTGGGAGCAAGGGTATAAATACCTCTGGATCTGGCTTTTTCTATGTTGTCAGAGAGCCCTGAATGAGGATACGTTGCTCCTTTTAAGACTTTTGTCTTGCAGTTGAACACGTATTGGAAATTTCCAATTTAAATTTATGCTTTTGGATAAAAAGGATTAGAGAGATTGAATTGCTGCAGGCTAAAGAGGCAACAGCGGTCACTTGATTTTGAGGAGTTCTGTCTGTCGAAAGAAGTTTTAGTGTGAAAAGACTGGAGTAAGGAAAAAAAGGAGAATGAACATTCATTCAGAGACTACCTACCAAGTACCAGGTACTGTGGTGAATGCTTCCTATCCATTGTTTTATTCAAGCCTTATCCTTTCATGAGGAAATAGAGACTCAGAGAGAAGTATGTAATTAAAGTAAGCTTTTTTTTTTTTTCGGCTACATCAGGTCTTAATTGCAGTATGTGGGATCTAGCTCCCCAACCAAAGATTGAACCTAAGGCCCCTAAGTTCCCCTTGGGAACACGAAAGCCCAGTCACTGGACCACCAGGGAATTCCCCTACAATAAGCTTTGACTATGCTGAAACAAATCTTACATATACCAAACAAGTTGATTGAGGAAGGTTATAAGTGGCAAGGTTAGTTTTTCTGCACATCAGTTCAGACTTTTCCCAGAGGAGGACCAAGGCTATTTGAACTGTGACCACTCCTTAGCCGCCAGATGTTAACTTGTGGCTACTCATAAGCCTAGATAGATTCAAACCATTGACCTTGAGCTGAAGTATTTTGTAAGCTGTGACTCACCTTTTACTTAGTTCATTCTTTCACCAGGAAATATACTGAGTATTAATTTCTGGAATTTCAGTGATCCCTTCTGAAGAGTGTACTGCTCATTAAAATATCTGGGTCTTGTTTTTCTGGTAACAAACAGAACCACAAATTGGTCTATCCTTAGTGGTTGTGCCAAATCCTTATTTAAACAGAGGGAGAGATCTGATTAACTATTTGGAGAGAAGCTGTTAAAGATCTAATTAACTGTTTGGAGAGAGGCTGTTGTTGAAAGGTCATCCTTTCTAGCTTCTATAAGAGGTTCATCTCTTCCGCCAGAGAAATGGGGATACCCGAGAGTGAATCCGAGGCTGAACATAACGGGTGGTGTATGTGTGTGTTTGTATCTGTGAATACCACATCTCTGTTTATCGGACACTGGACTCTCTTCATGCAAGGCCTAGTCAGGCCAAATCTGGAGGAATTGTTCCCGTGCTTAAAGCCAAGAATAACATCCTGACCAGCAGGGAACAGAGGTCAGCTCAAGGCAGCAGCTCTTGTGAGCTACACGACATCAAGAACCTTGAAGGAACTTAGTTTAATAAGAAGGAAGCCAGTATGTACCTTGAAGAAAGTTTGTGAAAGCTGTATGTCTCTTGTTGTTGTTGTTCAGTTAGTAAATCATGTCTGACTCTTTGTGACTCTTCACGTGAACTGCAGCATGCCAGGCCTCTCTGTCCATCACTATCTCCCGGAGTTTGCTTAAACCCATGTCCATTGAGTTGGTGATGCCATCCAACCATCTCATCCTCTGCTGTCCCCTTCTCCTCCTGTGCTTAGTCTTTCTCACCATCAGGGTCTTTTCCAATGAGTCAGCTCATTGGGGTATGAGAAATAAAAAACAATCATCCTAACAGGTGGCGTTCATGTCACCTCCTGGTCATCTAACTATATTTTCCCCTCCTACCTGGATATTGATTTGTCTGTTTATTGTTTTAATTAGAAAAGGAGGAAAAATATATTCTGTTTTTCTGGTGTTTTATTCTACTGGCAGCTTCAGAGATGCCCAGAAGTGCTGGCTTTAAAAGATGATATGTTAAACAAATAGCCTTTACAAAATCTCCTGGGACCTTCCGGTTTTCCCGAAGTTTTGTCTCTGGGATCTTTATGCTCCAGTTTCTCTTCCGTCTTTCCTCATTCTGATGCTGACCACTCATCCCACAGAGGCAACTCCAACTGTTTTCTGGTGGAGCATTCTAAGTTTGTCCTGTTGTCTTCTCTGGGACTCATTTCTCTGGTCTGACTTCAAGTGGTTCTGGGCCAAAGTGACTGTAAAAGCTTTTCTGCATAGCCTTTATTTCTTGGCTCTTTCTATTTGTGCACTTTGTCTGATTAGTTTTGCTGGTTTCCTCCTTTTCCAGCTGATGTGAGGTATATTGCCTCAGCTGTAGGGTTCTAAAGCTCAGATGCAGCCCCAGGCCTCTTAGATTTTTCTCCACTTTGTAAAGTGCCTTTTTCCTTTCCTAGAAATTGGGGCTGTGGTATGAGGTATTGCTGACTCTTCCGGGACTCTAGTTTGCTATTTGTTTAAACACATATGTAGCAATTTGGATTGTATTTGCAAGGTAGGACTTGTTGCCAAGACTCTGAATAGGTCATTGCTGTTACCCTTTCTCCCCTGTTTTTGAACTGAAAAATTAAAGACCATGGTCACATAGTAGGTTGGTCTTATGCCTCTTGAAACAAACCTCATTTTTGTATTCCTTATATGTAGCATAGCAGTTGGCATTTAGATATTAACAAATAGTTAAATACATAATAGTTTAATTAATACATCTTAACTGTGGGGTTGATTGATCAATTAAATTTCAGAATTCTCATCAAGTTGATCACATTTTGGAATCCATATATGAGAGAAGTTTCTGGTTGGAAGGTCCAAGTAGCAGTATAGGAAATGTTTAGCAATTTAGAATATGCATGCCAAAAAATACTGATGTAAATCCTATTCTAAAAGGAAGAAACAGAAGGGTAGTTTGGCTAGAGCAGAGACTGGTTAAAATGTAAGGAGAAGTAGGGTGAGGGAGGATAAAAGAACATGGATTAAAAAACAGCAACAATTATGGAAATAGGCATCTTGTCAGTTTGGGATTAAACCATGTAAATGAAAATTTCCCACCCTCCCCCCAGTAGCAGGTTCTCCACGTTCACACCCCTCCCTCAGACCACTATCCAGAGGAGCTGTTAATGAGCCTCTGGCCACTAGTGTCCAGTTTTGAGGGCTGCTTTATGAAGTGCAGAGAGGTCCTGTGAGGTCAGTCAGTGCAAAGAGCAGTTGGCCTTTAGATTCGTTAAATTCGTCGTAATCGTTTTGCTGCTCTCAACAGTATTGCTAATTCCAAAGCCAAAACCATTTTCTAATTGTTTTACTGTGTGTGACCGGCTTACGGGACCAAAACAGCAGCTGAGAACTGCTTTACTGCCCTGTGCGTTATGCAATAACCCTTCAGAGGGGCCCTTTACTTCTTTTTTAGCCTTTAAAAAAAAAACAAAACCAACAAAAAACAAACTCTGCTGTTTTTTTGCTTTGGGGCCAGTAATTTGCATCTTATTTGGGAACCTTCATTATTATTTCTTCATATATCCTTGCGCTAAGTAAGCCCTGCTCTCTGAACCTGGCTCTGACTTCTGGCCTCATTGAGTTGTATGAATTGTAATAATTTCTGATTTCAGATCTGTTTCCAACTTTTGTTTTTTCTTGCTGTCTTGGGGTTCAAACTTGCTTGGGCTTGGAGAAAGTGGTTTTTTTTTTTTTCTTGTTTATTTTTTTGTTTCTGTAAATATATTCTCTAATAATTATTCTTTATTTTCTTTGTCAAACAGGCCACCAAGCAGTTTCTTGAAGAGATTAACAAGTGGACAGTTCAGTACAACGTTTCCCCCCTCTCTTGGAATGTGGCCGTCAAATTCCTCATGGCCCGGAAGTTTGATGTGCTACGCGCCATTGAGTTGTTTCACTCCTACAGAGTACGTAGCTCAGACTTGGACCTGCTGTGTGGCACCTGGGCTCTCTATGTTGCTGGTGTCTCTGCCACAGTCTACTCATGGTGTTTCTCCCCACTCCCATTAAAAAAAAAAGGTGGAGCAGTATCCACAAGCCCTACCTTGAAGTCAGAAAATCCTTCTGAAGATATTCAGACTCTCCCTAAATAAATTTTTTAAAAAGGAGAGGGGGATAAGAGGCACTGGGATTAGTTTATGAGTTTAAGACTAAAGCTCACTTACACCCATTTTATGGATCATCTTGTTCAATATTCATTTATTCAACAGGTATTTATTATATACCTACCATGTTCTAGGTGCAGAGATTACTGTTTAGAAAGAGAGAGTAAACAAATAATTACAGAAAAGCTATGATAGGGCAAAACTGTGTTCTGTGGAAAGCACAGTAAGGAGACTTGAGGAAGCTTTCCCAAAGGAAATGACTTCTAAAGTAAGAAGAGTGAGTAGGAATCGGACAGTGGGGGAGTATGGCAGAGAGAACAGCGAGTTCAGATGCCTGGTGGCAAGAGGGAAATTGAGCTGAGCGGAAATGCTCAGTAGGGGTGGGGGTATGACAGGAGATTGAGCAACAGAGGTAAACAAGACCAGATCAGAGAGTATCTGCTTTTTCTTAAGGGTAGAGAAATTCATTGGCAGTATAAACAGCAAAATGTGTTGATCAAATATGCTTTCTGGAAAGATTTTTTCACTGTGCTTTAGAGGATGGATCAGAAGGGCTATAGCGGAGACAGATCCATTAGAAGGCTGCTGTACTTACTAGGAGAGAGATGATTGTCATGTCATTAAGCAGAGTGTTAGCAGGAATAGAGAAAAAGTAGGTAGATTCTAGAAGTGAAATTGATAGAACGGAGTTACTTAAATTGGTGTGTGAGGAAAGGGGAGTAGTGGATTCCAGGTCTCTGACTTGGGCAACAGGGTGGTAAACAGGTGGTGGGATTTACTAATTAAGAGACACTGAAGGGGTATCAGTATGTGGACAGAGTAGGCCATGAGTTCAGTTTGGCCATGTTAAGGTTGAAGTGCCAGTGGGATAGCCAAATAGACATGTCCTTTCGAGCAGTTGAGATATGAGTCTAGGGTTTGGGAAAGAAGGCTGGACTGGAACTAGAGACTTCAGAGTGCCCAGAGTAGAATTGCAGCTAAATATTGGAGCCATGAGAATAGGGGTGGGCATCCGGGGAGAGAGTGAGGAGTAGAGATATGTGTAGAGCAGAACCTCATTTCATACTTTTTGCTTTTTTCTCAGTATTGTTTGTTAAAGTTAAATTTTCATGGTTTAAGTAAGACATGCACTCTCCTGTGATTCCAGCATGCATACTGTCTTCACTTGCTGCCTTGCCTTTGCAGGCATTTGAATTTGATTTTGGGATGAATTGGGGAAGAATGTGAACAGAGACCTAGTTTGTTGTATTCACCACAGTGTTCTTAACACTTAGCTCAGTGCCTGGCACATGATACTTGCTCTACAAATATTGAATGAATGAATGAGTCAGTGAGTGAAATGAGTGAATAAATGAATGATAAAAAACCCACAAAAGAGTCTTAAAAGGAGAAGCTGAAGAAATAGAAGAACCAAGAGAGTATTTTTTATTTTTATTTTATTTTATTTTTTTTTTTTTGATATTTTATTTTTTTATTTTTTATTTTATTATTATTATTTTTTTCATTTATTTTTATTAGTTGGAGGCTAATTACTTTACATCATTGCAGTGGGTTTTGTCATACATTGAAATGAATTAGCCATGGATTTACATGTATTCCCCATCCCGGTCCCCCCTCCCACCTCCCTCTCCACCCGATCCCTCTGGGTCTTCCCAGTGCACCAGGCTCGAGCACTTGTCTCATGCACCCAACCTGGGCTGGTGATCTGTTTCACCCTAGATAATATACATGTTTTGATGCTGTTCTCCCAAGAGAGTATTTTTTAAAAAAAATAATAAAGAATCTCTTAGGAAAAAGAGAACGTGAGTGGTCAACCTTATTAAAAGGAGGACTGAAGATGCGCACTGGTCCTTGTCACTGGAGCAGGAGCTCTGGGTGGTATGGTTAGACTGGGAGGAAATGAGAATGTGATTGAATGAGTGTTGAGAGAGCTGAGGGTGAGCTTGAAGAATCTGACTGTGAAGATGAATTAAAATGAGGTCATGGCAATGGCAACCCACTCCAGTACTCTTGCCTGGAAAATCCCATGGATGGAGGAGCCAGGTAGGCTGCAGTCCATGGGGTCGCTAAGAGTTGGACTCTACTGAGCGACTTCACTTTCACTTTCATGCATTGGAGAAGGAAATGGCAACCCACTCCAGTGTTCTTGCCTGGAGAATCCCAGGGACGGGGGAGCCTGGTGGGCTGCCGTCTATGGGGGGGTCTCACAGAGTCCGACACGGCTGAAGCGACTTAGCAGCAGCAGCAGCATGGTAGCTGTTGTTGCAGAGGATACTAAGGGGGCGGGGGATGGCTCCTGTTTAAGACAGGAGAGGCCTAAGCCTGGATGAGGTGTTAAGATATGTGCTTCCAGACAGTTTAGGTGCATATTTTAATATCAGTGCTGCTGCATGTTTAATAAGTTTAGCTTTGCACTCTAATGATTGATATATATTGGTTGGTCTTCAGGGTTAGGCTTCTCACTGATTCAAAGGAGAGATCCTAAGCTCTGAGGGGCTAGTAAGATAGCATTGGATAAGAATTCTGCTAACAGTTGGCCTAGAGGAAGGTTACTAAAGGAATTCCTGATTCAGCAAGCTGATTTCTAAAATCCCTTATCTCTGAGATTTGGTGGTTACATAAAGCTGTCATGAATATACAGTATTTTTATATTAATTTATCTTGTTTTATTTTTAGGAAACACGAAGGAAGGAGGGCATTGTGAAGCTGAAACCTCATGAGGAACCTCTCCGTTCTGAGATCCTTAGTGGAAAATTCACCATCTTAGTGAGTATTTATGAAACCCTCTTGTAACATTTCTTTATTTCCTTTTGTAGCTATTACTCTCTTTGGACTTTGTTCCTAGATATCTTATCCTGAATCTAGAGAGTCTTAATAGTGGGGAATAGATGCAAAACAGCTGTGAAGTTTGGCATAAAATTATTCTAGTAATAATTGAAATAATTGAAACTCAGTTGTATAGTAGTTTTAGAAAAGTTTCTTCATTGGTCCATTGAGGTCAGTCAAGACCTTTGGGAGGGGTCTACGGTGTGTCAGAGCCCTGTCCTCCTTTATTTCACGTAAGTTCTCTCCACTTAGAGACCACAGCCTTTCAGGTAAGTGTCCAATGGTACTTTTAAGGCAGAGCATGGAAACCATGGTCATATTCTGTGGTTTTCTCCTGTTGCTTTTTCTTCACTATCCTGCCTGGGAAATTAGCTAGGCAGCCAATATAGACCATTGTTTAATTTAATTTCTCTGTACTTGAAGAGTTAAGAGAATGTGGTTTTTTCCTACCGTAGGAATATGATCCTGGGAGTGCTGAGAGTCAGACATGGGATGATTAAAAAGCTTTTTTGCTTTTCTGGAGCAATTGATGCAAGTCAGAGAAGTATTATCAATATCTGTGCTCTTTATGGCAAACCTTTGTCCAGGTTATAAGAAGCCTCAGTGATTTCTGTGATTTTTCTATTTGGTATCTAAATATTTCTTGTTTTGTTTGCTCTAGAATGTTCGGGACCCAACAGGAGCCTCTATCGCCCTCTTCACTGCCAGATTACATCATCCCCACAAGTCAGTCCAACATGTGGTACTTCAGGCTCTGTTTTACTTGCTGGACAGAGCTGTGGATAGGTGAGCTTAGACATTATCTTTTGAGTGTTCTGCATCTAGATGGGAAAGTGACAGTGTTTGATTGGATTAAACTCAGCAGTGCATTCACCATGCTCCTAGGATGTGCCTTAGGCGGTGCTATGAATAGAAAACACTCCATGTCCTTGAGGGTCTGGCCTGTTTCCAGGTACTATCAAGATGATGGGTAGTCTGCATCCTTACCTGCTTGGCTCTATTTCAGGGTAACAGAAGCTAAGAAATCTAATTAACTAGCCATTCTTAGTGTACTGAGAATTACTTATTGAAAGAGTGTGAAGGTAAGATGACCTGTGCTGGTTCTTTCTGACCGTTCTCCCCTGGTATTGATTTTCAAAACCCTCTGGAGCCTCAGTTTCTTTATCTGTAAAAGTAGAATAATGCCAAGGATTTTGAGAATCAGCATTCAGGAGAGAGGGGTCCAAGAGCATAAGTTAAGCAGAATCATCTTTATAAATAAGTGTGCTGTGTGTTCAGTCACTCAGTCGTATCTGATTCTTTGCAATCCCATGGACTGTAGCCCACCAGGCTCCTCTATAAGCCAAAAGAACCAGCTTGGGTCATGTCTCCATTCCTGCCCTTAGGTAAATAGTATTATTACTATTCTATAGACAAAGAAACTTAGGCCCCAGGAAGTTTTGTGGCTTTTTTACAGTCATCACATATTGATTGAACTAAGTCTAAGATCCTGGTTTCTTCACTCTTGGTCAGAACTATCTGTATTCCTACTATGCTATTTTTCTCTTTTACATCCTTTTTTCCCTGGTGCTCACCATTTACAGTGTGTTATTGCTCCCAGTGTCGTTGACTGGTCCTCTGGGTTAGAAGTGATATTATCGAGGGCTGAGACTGGAGGTAGTGAGAGGCAGCGATGCACTTCAGTCATACTTCTGTTCTTAGAGGATGGGGACAGCTGAAGGATTTTCTGAGGTGGGGCTCTGTGTCTCGATCACTTGGCTGCTGCCTTGTTAATGTTACTTTCATTTACTTAGCTTCTGCTGGTGGTGTTCAGGGGGAGATACATCCAAACCACACCCACAGCATTATTCTAAAAAAGAGAAGTTACTAATGAGAAAGGATTTCTCAGTTCTTCTTTCTTATGATTGTTCTTCAGACATAATTTCTGGAATAGAATTCCCTTTGAAATGTTTCTTTACCTCATGGGGTTGAGTGGAAGGCTCTTTTACCAGGAAATTTAGCATTGGCTTCCTCTTTGAGCAGTTTAGAGTCAGAGCTTTCATACAGGCATGACAGTGACCAAAGCTTGCTTTTTCCAGTGAGAGTATTGAATCCCATAGGAATACCACACAGGTAAATGCAATTAAAACTTTGTTCTCATGATCTCCATCACTTTCTTAAAAATCCTAGGTGACTCCTCACTTTTCAGAGGGTGAATGTAAGCTAAATAAATGTGAGCCCTTTTTTCCCCCTAAATGAAATATTCTACCAGTGAGTAAAAATTTTTGTTTTCCTTTGTTACCTTGAACCAGAATGAAGAGGAGGAAACCCTTTCTCTTCACTAAATCTTGCCCTTCCGTGAAGGCCCAATTTCTGTGCCTGACTCCCTCACCCCTCCAACTAGTCATAACATTCTTTCTACTCTGACTTTAATAGCAGCTATTACTAATACCAATCATTTTGTATTTAATTATACATCCAGTCCAACTCTCACATCCATACATGACCACTGGAAAAACCATAGCCTTGACTAGATGGACCTTTGTTGGCAAAGTAATGTCTCTGCTTTTTAATATGCTTTCTAGGTTGGTCATAACTTTCCTTCCAAGGAGTAAGTGTCTTTTAATTTCATGGCTACAATCACCATGCGCAGTGATTCTGGAGCCCAAGAAAATTAAGTCTGACACTGGTTCCACTGTTTTCCCATCTATTTGCCATGAAGTGATGGGACCAGATGCCATGATCTTAGTTTTCTGAATGTTGAGCTTTAAGCCAACTTTTTCACTCTCCTCTTTCACTTTCGTCGAGAGGCTTTTTAGTTCCTCTTCACTTTATGAAGAAAGCTGAATACGAAGAATTGATGCTTTTGAACTGTGGTGTTGGAGAAGACTCTTGAGAGTCCCTTGGACTGCAAGGAGATCAACCAGTCCATCCTAAAGGAGATCAGTCCTGAGTGTTCATTGGAAGGACTGATGCTGAAGCTGAAACTCCAATACTTTGGCCACCTCATGTGAAGAGTTGACTCATTGGAAAAGACACCGATGCTGAGAGGGATTGGGGGCAGGAGGAGAAGGGGACAACAGAGGTTGAGATGGCCAGATGGCATCACCGACTCGATGGACATGAGTTTGAGTAAACTCCAGGAGTTGGTGATGGACAGGGAGGCCTTGCGTGCTGCGGTTCATGTAGTCGCAAAGAGTTGGACACGACTGAGCGACTGAACTGAACTGAACCTTCTGATGTCATTTATCTTATGCTTTTCTTTTCTTTTTTTACCTACCACTGGATGGTAAGCTCTAGGAGGACAGGAAACCTTCTTTTCAACATTATATGATGGAAAATTCCCAAATCCCCATGGTGGAGAGGAAATCGTGTCATCAACTTTCACATGCCTATCATTCATCTTCTTTCACAATGACCTGAAACCAGTCTTGTTTTGTTGATAGCCCCTCACCCACCCTTTTACCTTTGATTATTTTGAAGCAAATGCCAGAGGCAGCGGTAGTCTTCTTGGTGTTCCCAGTTATATCCTAGTCCAGGAATCAATCTCAATAGGGTAGGGAAGCAGTTGTTCTTAGTAGGGAGCTATTGTTGTTATTGAATGATAAACCTTATATTCTGTGCCCAGGGAAGTAAAAATGCTATTGCATTTGTATTTCATATGCCTTCAAAGGATGAGCAGTTTTAGGTCTAGAAATATAGAATCTGCATCATTATGCACTATAACTTCTTTTATTAAATTCTGTTTCCTCTGGTGCTGATTTCTCTTTGTTTCAATCCCCTGCCACGGGCTGGAGCTGTGAGGGGGAAAACCTGTAATTCTTCTAGTTTGGTGTGGAGAGAAGGGAAATCTGTAGATGTGGGCAGTCTACTCAGTGCTGGGCCACTCATTTAACAGCATCTTTGATCTTGGTAAATTAGTCTCTCTAGGGTTGTGAAAGAATGAGACAAGATACAGCTCTCACTTTAACATGTGAGGGGCCATTTGAAATTAAGTCTGCTGTAGAAGCTTGGTTCTACTTCAGAGATTTTTGAAGTGCTACTTCATGGATAGGTGCTTCTAACTTGGATTCTGTTGAAAGGATGAAGTTATGGAGGTTTCCAGGAGGTAATGCCAGAAACAAAAAATAAGGATACAAAGTTACATTAGATTCCTGATTTCAGGAATTTGTTTTGTGTCAAAAAATTTCTTGAATATAAATACATGTGAAAACTATTGCTATCATCTGTGAATAGTCCAATCAGATAATTTATTTCTAACAGTCATTTAGGTGTGCAGATCAGAAGCGGGTAAAGATCGGGCTTGGTGGAAGAGTACAACTTTAGGAATTAAGGAGATTGGACCAAGTAATATTTTTTGTTCCTAACTTCAATCTGGGAATAGGCCCACCAGCTCTTTATCTACTTTTTAAGATGCCTCCCAAAGACCATTAGTAGGTTTTTCTCTTCCTTCATTAAAGTCATAAGAGATAAATATATCATCATTGAGTTTAGAATTTTGTTTACAGTTTTTCATAGGCCCACAGTGTTTTCTTAGTGATGGGCTTCTAGGCCACTGAATTACAATTCTGTGACCATTCATTATATTTGCAAAGACTGTGCTGTGGACTGTGGAGGGTAATGAGGTGAACAAAACATGTTTTTGCCCTCTAGGAGAGAATGAGATCGCTACACAAAATTGGAGTACATTAAGAGACGCTAGAAAAATCCACAGATGTGGATTCAAGGAATGTGAATGACGGTAGTACATTTGGTGACAATTATCAGGGAGACCTTCATGGAAGAGGAAACTTTTTGAGTTAAACATAGTATGGTACAGAATTTGGATAGTCAGATTCAGAGATAAAGGAGAAAACAGTTCAAATTTTGATAACCTAGTTGCTCTGGAACATTCTCAGACTATGAGTTTGGTACTTGATGAATCTGGATAAATATGCATCAATAAGTATAATTACATTTCCAACATGTGGGGTTTTTCCTCCATATTGTCAAGGAATTCTCCCCCATGAACTGGGCATTTGGCAGTTCAACTCAAGTCTGACACTATATACCTGGAGATAGCCTCAGATTACACAAGTTAAGGGTTCAGTCCTAAAAGACTGTCCCTTCAGACATCAGTGGCAAGTCCAGGTTGTCATCTCCGCTTCTGATCGTAGATCAGTGCCCCCTCCTTGGGTTTGATTAATTTGCTGGAGCAGTTTATAGAACTCAAACATTGTACTTAATATGTTACCAGTTTATTATAAGAGGGTATAATTTAGGAACAGCCAAACGTAAGAGATGCATAGAGGGAAAGGTTTGGGGAAAGGGGCATGGAGCTTCCATGCCTTCTCTGAGAGGAAGTCGCTCAGTCATGTCTGACTCTGCGACCCCATGGACTCTAGCCTACCAGGCTCCCCCATCCATGGAATTCTCCAGGCAAGAGTACTGGAGTGGGTTGCCATTTCCTTCTCCAGGGGATCTTCCCCACCCAGGGATGGAACCCAGGTCTCCTGCACTGCAGGCAGATGCTTTACTATCTGAGCCACCGGGGAAGCCCCTAGATGGAAGAGACGCATAGAGGGAAAGGTTTGGGGAAAGGGGCATGGAGCGTCCATGCCCTCCCTGAGAGGGCTGCATGTGTTCATCGACCTGGAAATTCTCTAAATCGTATCCTTTTGGCATTTTATGAAGGCTTCATTCATTGCAAGGCATGATTGATTAAATCATTGGCCATTGGTGACTGAGTTCAGTCTCCAACACCAGTCCTCTTCCTGGGTGTGGGAGGGCGGGACTAGAAGGTCCAACCCTTTCTAATCACGTGGTTGGTTCCTCTGGCAAACAGCCTCCATCCTTAGATGTCCTAAGAGCATTCCAAGGGTCACCTCATTAATATAGCAATGGATACCTTCCTTGCTTTCCTAGGAAATTCTAAGTTATGGGAACTCTGCCAGGAAACAGGGTCAAAGTCCAAATATGTATATCTTATTATAAATTCTTTGTAAGGCTGGTGTTTAGGGAAGGCAGTTATTTTGGTCTCAAATGTGTCCCACACTCTCTGTGTTCTTTGTTTTTGACCCAGGTTTTCAATCTGCCTCATCCATCTTATTACTTATAAATATTTTTGTTCAATGATTGGTTTACAGCTTTGAAACTCAGAGGAATGGACTGGTGTTTATCTATGACATGTGCGGTTCTAATTATACCAACTTTGAGCTGGATCTTGGCAAGAAAGTCCTAAACTTGCTAAAGGTAAGGAAGGGCTGTGAGAGGACCCTTTCAACCCTCCTTCAATGGTTCCTTTTTTCTATTCTTTGTGAGATTTAGGAATGATGTAAACTTCAGAATTACGTTCAATGTAAAGGTCACCTGTAAGTGTTGACCAATATCTGCTTCCTCAGAATAAAAAACAGTCTTAAAAGTAAAATGGGAGGAATTAAAATGCACAGGAACAATGAGTTGTAAAGGTGGGATGTCTCTTTTTCGGAGTTTTGTAGAATAAAAATTAATGAAGGCTCGGGATGGTCATTGTCTTGAAAAATGTAACCTAGCCAGTGATTTTCAGACTTTTTGTCTTAGTCTAATCAGAACCATGTTTTCCATTGTAATTTAGTTCACAAAAGTATATGTACACTAACTCCACACATACATATAAAGTTATATACAGAGATAGTTTCTTATCTCTTATCTCAAACTCTTAGGTCCAGAGGTGTTATTTAATATTTTGAACTTTAAAAGATACTATGGTATGTGTATCACTCTAGCATCAAATATTTCTGCAATGAAATGTATTATTTGTAATGAGTGGAGAAGAGCAAAGGTTATAAACAGCCTATGAAATTTTGGGTCAGAGTTTGCTGTCTCATGGATTTTTGCACCAGACTAACAATAGAAACCAGTGGTTTCAGAGATGTTTAGATTTCAGAATCCAAGGATATAGGTGTAAAGATCTTTGTGTGCAATTTATAAAACAAAATTAAAAATGTTTCATAAGATAGACTTTACCTTTGTACAGTCATTTTGATTATTCTGTTCTATATCATATTTTTAAAGTGTTATCATGACTTACTGAATTGATTTCAGGGCCCGCTGCATGACAACCTGCAGTGGGAAAAACATTCACCCAGGAGTCTGTGTAGTCTTTGTTACTAGTACTTCACTTGGGAGTACTGTGGAACTGGATGTTTAGAAGTGTTTGTTTACTACTACAGCTTTCTTTATAGCAGAAATTATATAAAAAGAATTTTATACTGCATGTTGTTCACTGGGACTTGGATTTTTACACTCATCACTGCGTTGCTAAAATTGCTAGTGTGGTTTGTAGCTGATACTCATTCCTTTTAAATTGATGGTTGAAGGATTCATGCCTTTTAATTCCTCATCCACTGGTGAATATACCATTTTGTTTATCCACTTCTATTGATGGCTTCTTGGGTGGTTTTCTGATTTTTGCTATTAATATTATGGACAGTGCTGCTGTGAACATTTTTTTTTTTTGTGAACATTCTTATACATGTCTTCTGGTGCATTTGTGAAAGAATATCTCTAAGGCAGAATGTACATCTGTGCTTTATGTGCAAAGAGAGCATGTGTGTTTGGACTGTTTTTCCCATTCCCGGTCTTCTCAGAACTAATTTCACCCTTTGGGGTTGATACCACCCCCACTGAAAATGCTCTAGAGTATACATCTAGGAGTAGAGTTACTGGGTCATAAGGCCTGGGAAGATTCAGTTTTATAAGGTAGTGTTTAATTGTTTTTCAAAATGGTTGTGCCTACCTGCCATGTGTAAATTTTCCACATCCTCTCCAATACATGACAATGTCATACTTCTTAATTTTTCCAATCAACAGGTATAAAATGGTATCTTGTGATATAACTCAGAATCTCTTTTATTAGTGAGATTAAGTATCTCTTCATGTATTTATTGGCCATTTATGTTTTCTTCTGCACAGTGCCTATTTATGACTTTTACCCATTTTCCTATCATCCATTTATGTAGTTGTTTATATATTAGTACTAATCTCTTTGTGTGTATGTCAGGCTTCCCTGGTAGCTCAGAGGGTAAAGAATCTGCCTGCAATGCAGGATACCCGGGTTTAATCCCTGGGTCGGAAACATCTCCTGGACAAGGGCGTGGCAACCCGCTCCAGTGTACTTGCCTGGAGAATCTCATGGATAGAGGAGCCTGGTGGACTACAATCCATAGGGTCACAAAGAGTCAGACACGAGTGAGCAACTAACACACACACACACTTGTATGTATGTACATACATACATATCTATATACATACATATACATGTATATACATACATATATTCAGTTTATAGCTTGCTTTTTCACTTTTTGTAGAGCCCTTTTGACTAACAAAAGTTCTTCATTTTAATATGGTTAAATGTGTCTGTGTTTAATTTCTGCTTAATACATTTTGCATCATAAGTCCTTCCCTATTCCAAAGTCAGCAAAATAATATTAAATATTTATTTTTTACTGCTCTACCACTGATTCCACCATGTGTATTAATTTTTTAATTAATCTTTTATTGTGATAAAATATACATTTATACACAATCTTGTGGTTACTGTTGTAACAATTTTGAGTGTACAGTTCAGTAGCATTAAGTAAATTCACAATGCAAGCCATTACCACTATCCATTTTCAAAACTGTTCATCATCCCACACAGAAACTCAGTGCTCATTAAACAGTATATCCCCACTCCGCCCCAAGGTCCCCGGTAACCTCTCTTCTACTTTCTGTCTCTATAAATTTGCCTATTTTAGGTCCTATGTAAATGGAATCATGCAATATTTGTCCTTTGTGTCTATTTTATTTCACTTAGCCTAATATTTTTAAGGTTCATCTGTATTGTAGCATGTATCGGAATTTCATTCCTTCTGAAGGCTGAAATATTCTGTCATATGTACATACCGTGTGTTGTTAATCCATTCATCTGTCGTAGGACAGTTGGGTTGTTTTCACGTTTGGGCTATTGTGAATGATGCTGCTGTGGACATTGGTGTTACAGCATCTGTTTGAGTCCTTGCTTTCAATTCTTTGGTGTGTATGCCTACATGTGGAATTGTTAGATCATATGGTGATTCTACACTTAATTTTTTGAGGAGCTATTTTCTTTTAAAAGTTTAAAATTTTGTTTTTGTCATTTAAGACCTTAATCCATCTGGAGTTGATTTTCGAGTATGGTATGAGATGTAGGAATCTGACTTTTTTTCCATATGGATAGCTATTTTTTTTTCCAGTTTTGCATACTAAATAGCCTCTCCACAACATAGGCCTTTTACTTGTCAGTTTTAACAGAGTCACAATAACTTGGTAAGTTAATATATCATAGACAATTTTAACTATTTAACCATCTTTCTGTATTATTCAGATTGTTTTCAGGTTTAAATAATACTGTTATGATTATTTTCGCTCTTTCTCTTAAATTATTTTAAGAAAATATTTCTGAGAGTTGGATTATTTGGCTAAAGATTATGAATATTCTTGTGTCTCTCTTTATACATCACTAGGTTACCCTCAATAAAAGTGGAAAAGAAATTTACATTGTCACCAACAAACAAGAGTATCTTTTTCCTTTAACTATCCCAGTAATTCATTCTATAACTTTTGTCCTTTTTTGAGTATAGAATTTTAAAATAATAGTATCCTTTTTTTGTTGTTTGAACTCCTTAAAAACATTATATCTTTTTCTTCAAATGTTCTTTTGCTGTTTGTATGTCCTCCTTTATTTGCTGCAAAATAATGAAAATACTGTAGATGTTTTGTTATATAAATTCAAACAGAATGAAATGAAAGTTTGGTTGCCTTAAAATCCATATATCTATATGTTCTCTTTAGTGACTTGTTGCTCCGTCATTGGGAATAGATAAAATTTTAAATGCAGTCCCTACCATCCTCATTCTTATGAAAGTTATAAATAGAAGTTTATCTTTAATGCACAGTCTCACACTTTAGATTTCTATTCAGTGTGAATTAATTTCCAGTAGTTACTGTGGTGAGGATTTGGATTAAAATATGACACTATAATAAAAGTATAAATAATCTTTGACTTCCTAAGTTGCTCTGAATAGATTTTCCCCATCTTGGTAACTTTCTTAGGAGTAATCCTTGTTTTAAATTTTAAAATGTCATAACCTATTTTAGTTGCCGTCATATGGATTCTTAACTATTGTTTAAGATGAACCATTTAAACCATACAGTGTGAAATTTACCTTTACTAGACAATGTAGAATTTGTCTAGCCCAAAGAATAAATGTTTATTTTTCTGATTATGAAATACATGACTGGGACTTCCCTAGTGGTCCAGTGGTTAAGAGTCTGCCGGCCAATGCAGGGGACACAGGTTCGATCCCTGGTTCAGGAGGATTCCACATGCTGTGGGGAAACTAAGCCCGTGCACCACAACTCCTGAGTCAGCGCTCTAGATCCCGCGCTCCACAACTAGAGAGTAGCCCCTACTTGTTGCCACTAAAGAAAGCCCACATGCTGCAGCAAAGGAGACCAAGTGCAGCCAAAAATAAATAAATGAGTGAGTTTAAAAGAGAGAAATATGTGACTAAAAGTACATTAATTTTCAGAAAATTTATTAATGCTGACACTTATAAAGTAATATTTGTTAACACTGAATGTTTTGAATACAGTTCTAACTTTATGCTTTAAATTAATTAATCCTGATATCATTAATCCTCAATCCTGATATCATTCCCGTGAGTTGTGATGGCTATTACTATTATTGTACCCATTTTATAGATCTAGAAACTTAGGCCTAGAAAATATAAGAACTTGCTGAAGGTAATACAACTAATAAGTACAGCTGCTGCTGCTGCTAAGTCGCTTTAGTCGTGTCCGACTCTGTGTGACCCCATAAACGGTAGCCCACCAGGCTCCCCCGTCCCTGGGATTCTCCAGGCAAGAACACTGGAGTGGGTTGCCGTTTCCTTCTCCAATGCATGAAAGTGAAAAGTGAAAGTGAAGTCGCTCAGGTGTGTCCAACTCCCAGCGACCCCATGGACTGCAGCCCACCAGTCTCCTCCATCCATGGGATTCTCCAGGCAAGAGTACTGGAGTGGGTTGCCATTTCCTTCTTGATTAAGTACAGAGCTATTACTTATAATTCCACCCCTTGAAAATTATCAGTTTAAAGAACTTAGTGTATGTATGTCCAAGCTTTTAAAATGTGTACATGTGTATATAGGTATACATACATATGGGATGAGGATACTTTTTTTTTCTTTACAAGTATGGCATATTATATGCAGCAGTTGTAATTTGTCATTTTTTTACTTAACAGTGTATTTTTGTCATCTTTATATGTCAATACATACAGCTCTTAGCTCATTTTTTCCCTCACTTTTTTTAATGGTTGCACAGTTTTTGTTTTTTTCTGTGCTGGGTCTTCATTGCTGAGTGGGTTTTCTCTAGTTGCTGCAAGTGGGGGCTACTCTTTGTTGTGGTATGTGGGCTTCTCACTGCTGTGCCCTCTCGTTGCAGAGCACAGGCTGTAGGGCCTGGGGGGCTTCTGTATTTGCCGCACACAGGCTCACTAGTTGTGACACCTAAGCTTAACTGCTCCCCAGAATGTGGAATCTTCCCAGACCAGGGATTGAACCCATGTCCCCCTTCATTGTCCGGTTTCCCAGGTGGTGCTAGTGGTAAAGAACCTGGTTGCTAGTGCAGGAGACATAATGAGACATCAGTTCGATGCCTGGGTTGAAAAGATCCCCTGGACGAGGGCATGGCAACCCACTCCAGTATTCTTGCCTAAAGAATCTCATGGATAGAGGAGCCTGGGGAACTATAGTCCATGGGGTCGCAAAGAGTCAGACATGACTGAAGTGACTTAGCAGCACCGCTGCATTGTCAGGCAGATTCTTAACCACTGGGAACACCAGATTAGTCCCTTGCAAAAAGTGTTCCTGTTGTTGATATACCAAGCAGAAAAAATGAAGTTTATTTTATTTTTTTGTGTTGTAATAAAGGCTTCAGTGAACATCATTTTACATTTATTTTTGTATATTTGGTCAATTATTTACTCAGGATAAATTTCTGTAAGCAGATATTTATGGTCAAAAGATAGGCACATTTAAAATTTGATAAATATTGCCAAATAGTCCTCTAAAAACTTAGTTCAGATTTGTATTCCCATCAACATCCTTGTTTGCTGGATTCTCATCATCATTTATTATTTGGATTTTAGTCATATTCATATCTTTATTTGTTTTTTTATTACTGATGAACTTTAACTTATTTTCACGTTTAACATCAGTATTTCTTTAAAAAAAATTTTCTGCTTATATATTCTACCCACTTTTCTGTTGAAGTGTTTGTCTCATTGATTTGCAAGATTTGTTATTAAGAATATTAGGAATATTATTAAGTATGTGTTACCAGCATTTTTGCAGTTCATAATTTGCTCAACATGACGGTGTCTTGTCATAGTACTATGTTTTCTTAATTTTTCATTATAGTTTTAATATACTGTATTACATATTTTACATTTAATAATATGCACAGTACATAATATTATGGACAAAATAATTTGTTTTCAAATTGCTGTCTTGGTGACATTTGTTAACTAATACACTTTTTTCCCTACTTACTTGGGGTACACCTTTATCTTATACTAAATTTCCATATGATAAGTGTGTCTATTTCTGGACTCCCTGTTCTATTGATCTAGGCATACAGACCAACATATTTACTTTTTTAATTTATTGTAGCCTTGTAATGAAGTTTAACATTTTATAGGATAAGCTTCCCTGTATTCTTTTATTTCTAAAAGTTGTTTTGACTGTTTTTATACTTTTATTCTTTTACATGCACTTTTGTGTGCTCTTATTTAAATTTTTACTGGTATATAACGTGCATACTAAAAACAAACTTTATACCTTTTTTTAAATTATAAAAACAAAAAAAAAAGGTAATTCAAGGAAAAGTCTCTAATCCCTCCTTCACATGCCCCAGTGACATTCCACAGAGGTAATCACTTTTTCAGAATTATAAACCTGTTGAGAAAAATCTGCTTTTAAAACCTGCTTTTAAAAAATCATCTTTTGATTAGATGAACATTAGAGTCATTCGGTCAAGTTCTGGTAGATAAGACACTTTGGGATTTAATTTGGATATAATGAATTAATTTAAGGAGAATTGACTTTCAGCCTCATCTTCACCTATCCAGGAATGCTTTGTTTTATGGATTTTTAAAAGTCTTTTGTTATGTCTTTCAATAAAATTTAAAAACTACGTGTCTTACATGTTTCTTATGATGTATTTTCTTAGGCTTAAAAATGTGCATGTTTATATGTATAAACATAGTAAACTCCAGGGATAAATCATCTTTTTTGTAAGACCAGTATCATATAGGGAGAGAGATGGTGCTTTTGTGTACAAATACTGTTATAAACCAGAGGCTTTTTACCATTATACTTTTATGGTGATTATTATTTATAGGGTGGCTGATTTTCTCATATTTATCTTTCATATTTTAAAATGCTATTACAGTACTTTAAAATACTACTATATAGCTGGGAATAATTTCTTCCCAGTAGAAGGACAGTATTATTCATTACCCCTGCCTATGAGCAGGACTGGAATGTTGAGAAACTAGATGAAACAAAGAGCTGTGGCTTAAAAAGAAATAATTTTTAATTCTTATGCCTTTTGCAGATCAGGGTGTCTCCTTTCTTTTAGACCTCATTTGTCCTTGTGCCCAGGAGAGCATATTGATTGACTGAGTGAATATATAAATAGATAAGAGATGAGTGGAAAATGATTATAAACACACAGATGTCAATATAAAGGAAAGATTATGAGAAATGTTTCATGTTCATTTTATTTTTGATCTAATTGTTCCTTAAAGTTTTAATAATTAGAACATAAGGATGCATACATGTATGCTGACAAGAACAGAGTAGTTTTGATCTATAAAGCTTATATAGACAAGAACGTAATATTACTACTTTTTTATTTTATTTATTTGTTTCACAAATAAGAGTTTCTTTGAAAATGTGGTGTACTGACAATAAAATTCATAGAGAACTCACATGATCAGGAGAATATAATCACAGAAAAAAAAAGTAAGGGGATACTCATCTGTTTCCTTTGAGATTCCTCTTTCAGATCTGCAGGGATACTTGAGAATCTTTAGGGTATATCTTACTTACTAATGTAACCAAAAGTTCTGAAGTCATTCTCAGTCGTTAAGTGGATCCAGATCAAATAACTCAAAGCCCATGCATTTCAGTGTGTGGATTCCAGCATACTCACCTGTAAATCTTAGGTGTCCCAGGCTAACTTTTGCCCCCATCTATGTCTGCAAAATATGATTACTTTGAATGGTAAATCAGCTTTTATTTTCTTCTTTTGAACTTTATTGAACTGTAGTTGATTTATAATGCTGTGTTAGTTTCAGGTGAACAGCAAAGTGAATCAGTTATGTTTTATATATAGTGTTGTGTTTATGTCAATCCCAATCTCCCAATTTATCCCTCCCCCACCCTTATTCCCTAGTAGCCGTAAGTTTGTTTTCTATATCCATGGCTCTTCTTCTGTTTTGTGAATAAGTTCGTTTCTACCCCCCCCCCCTTTTTTTTTAATTCCACATATAAGTTATATATTTGTCTTTGTGTCTGACCACTTAGTATGAGAATCTCTTGGTCCATCCATGTTGCTCCTAATGGCATTATTTTGTTCTTTTTAATGGCTTAGTAATATTCCATTGTATATATGTACCACATCTTTATCCATTCCTCTGTTGATGGACTTCTAGGTTGCTTTCATTTCTTTCTTTTTAACTTTTTCTCTAGCCACTAAGTGAAATCTGAATTAGGCTGTAGACTCCCCCTGCTGGGTAAGAATGGTGAAAAGAGCAGAAAACCTAAGTTTTGGATTTAAACAATCAGAGGTCCCCCTAGGCACTGTTGAAGTGCCCTAATTGGTGTCTTTAAATCCTTGTATGTGTTCTCCACAGTGCTTGCCTGGTGGCTCAGATGGTAAAGAATCTGCCTGCAATGCAGGAGACCCGGGTTTGATTCCTGGGTCAGGAAGATCCCCTGGAGAAGGGAATGGCAACCCACTCCAGTATTTTTGCTGAGAGAATTCTATGGCCAGAGGAACCTGGCAGGCTGCAGCTCATACAGTCACAAAGAGTCAGACATGACTGAGTGACTAACATGTGTTCTCCACAGGGAGCTTTTCCAGCTCGTTTGAAGAAAGTGCTGATTGTGGGAGCACCCATATGGTTCCGAGTGCCGTATTCCATCATCAGCCTCCTTCTGAAGGATAAAGTTCGGGAGAGGGTAAGGCAAGCTAACCTTATTTTATTTGGAGGTGGGGTAGATACAGTTCCATCTCTGCTGTTGAAGCTTGCCAATTAATTCTCTACTTTCAAAAGCCTTCCTGGTTTTTTTCTCTTCCTGCTTCTGTTAGTGTGAACACTTACATTTTTTGCTTTATTCTTTACTCAGCTCAGTATAGGTTGCCTTTTTGACTGTACTACAAGTTCCTTGAAGTTTGGACCTGGACATAATTTGGGCAGTTCCCCTCTATATAGTACCTTGCATGCAGCTAGTATTGAAGAAATGTGTCCCTTGAGTAACTTAGAGATAGCTACCACTTCCCAAATTTAGACTTGTACAGCTTCTAATATAATTACATCATTTGAGCTGGTATTTGATTTTGTCAACTGGAAGTACCACTCAGTCCCTTTGACCACCAGGGTGGTAAAGGAGAATCTCAGACTCTTTTTACTCCTGGCATTTTCTCTTAAAACAACTTGTTGCTTCCTAACTTCAAAAGTGTTGTCTAACGTCATCTTAATTCTATTATCATTCCCAGAATATTCCATGACAGAAAGATTATGGTTTCAGTCATTCACTCATTCTTTTCTCACCCTTAGAACAAAGGGTATAGGAAACATTGATATACTAGAATAAGATAATAGTGTAAAATATTATCAGAGGATTTTTTTTTTTTTTTAAATATGAGATCATATGAATACTAATAATACAGATCTTTGTAGCTGAGGCAGCTTGGGTTGGAGGGAAAAGACTAAAGACATTTTGTTTTGTAGACGCTTAGGGACTTAGTGACCCCAGAGTAGGAGAGGTACTCTCCCAGGTGACTCTTTGAGAGGACTCTTTGGGCAAGTTCTTAACGCTTGAATTTTATACAAGTGTATACATGCATGTGTAAGCTCAAAATATATTGAGCACCTTTACAGTCCATGTTCTGAGACCTGGGAATTAAAACTTGAGTGACACAGCCCTTACTCCTGTGGAGCTCATGGTTGTGAAAGGGGACAAGACATGTTCAGAAGACTGTGACTCTATGAAAACACAGAGGAGAATATTGCCTCAGACAATCAGGGAAGGCTTCACAGAAGGGGTGCGCTATAAGCTGGTCCTTGAGGAGGCCATAGAGAAAAAGAAGGCATTCTAGGAAGAAGCAGCAGCAAACATCCCATTCCACATAGATTTCAAAAAGAACCAACTAGGCTAATTTGGTCCAATATGGCTGTGTCCACTATGGCAGCAAAGAGAGGAATTGAGTATTATAGTTACTTCTCTAGCATTTTTCCTGGGCTTCCTTGCCTTTGGGTGACTGGTCTAGTCTTGCTTTCATTTAGAAATCTATTTTTGAGAACATCCATAGCAAGCTGTGAGTAAAGGACAAGCTAACAGACTTAGAATTGGTTACCTTAGTATGGGGTTGACAAAAACAACCACTTCCTGTGCATTCTTAGTAGTCAAAAAGGCCAGGACCCACATGAGATGGAACTGGAAACCCTTGTATATCGTATAAAGCCTTGGTTCTCTATACCTACCTTTATGTTTATAACAGGGCCCCTAATTCCAGGAATGAATTTGATATACATTGTGGGAAATCAAACCTTTCCTGGGAAATTCCTAGGATTTCAATGTTAAACAGATGAAATTGCATTTACGTCTTTTCTAAGTATACCAGGTGTTTCAAGCCAATCTTATCTCATTCTTCGAAGTACTTTGGTTCCTTACCTTCACTGTTTGTATGCCCTTCCCTCCCCACAGACTCACATGGTTCTCTCTGACCTTCTAGATTCAGATACTGAAGACGTCTGAGGTCACCCAGCACCTGCCCAGAGAGTGCCTCCCGGAAAACCTGGGTGGATATGTCAAAATTGACCTTGCCACTTGGAATTTCCAGTTTCTATCCCAGATGAATGGCCACCCCGATCCCTTTGATGAGATCATCCTGTTCTCCCTCCCTCCGGCCTTAGACTGGGACTCAGTGCATGTCCCAGACCCCCATGCCATGACCATCCAGGAGTTGATGGACTATGTTAGCACCAGGCAGAAGCGGGGGATATACGAGGAGTATGAAGACATCCGTCGTGAGAACCCAGTTGGTACTTTCCACTGTTCCATGTAAGTAGGGAAGGTTTGGGCCAGGAATCATGTTCCAAGATGCTTGTGACACGCGTTGGTACACCTTCCACACCTCACTTCCTTAAGAGAGGCTCTTCCTTAGGTTAAGGAGCATCGCTTTCACTTAGATCATGGTTTCTCTCATCCAGAAAGAGGCACCTCTTGGCGCTTGTTGCCAACAGCATATGCTATGAAGTTTCTGAAGGTCTTTGGTAACAGTGGAGAAACTGTGTACTAAAGGATGCATTTTTTGATGTTTTCCTGATATTCAAGTGCTTTTAGGGGAAAAAAAAATAGAAGCCCAAAAGTTAGGCTGTTGATTCTTGTTCTGAGTATGATCTTTGGTCCTTGCTTTTGGGCAGCTTCTGCCTAGAGTGTTTATAGTATTACATTACTTTCTGAGGAGGAGTACTGGTTCATTTAAAATAACCCACAGTCAGTAAGAGAGAAGAGTTGCCTCTTAGGAATATTTAGCCTGTGGGATTTTCCTTCTACCTAAATTCTGTAACTGGTTTGTAACTACTTGATGGCTATTGTTGGCAGTAGGGCACAGATCATTTCTCTTACTGCTGCTGTCCTTTATCTTAACATGTTTTCATTGGCTGCAGCAAAAACTTCTTTTCCTCCAGGTTTTGAGATCTGTTTGTTGAAAATTAAGGAAGCTGTCTCCAGTGGGTCTCAGGCTCAAGTTCCAGCTTAGCCAAAAATATCCTCTGTGACTTAAGTTATTTCCCTACTTTGTACCTCAGTTTTCCTGTTTGTAATATTTTATGTTAGACTCGCTGATATCCACTGATTATTTTATAGCTTAAGTGTTTTAGGAGTCTGTGAGTACCTCTCTCCCCTTGTAATTCCTTTCTAGCTTAGTCAGTGTGCTGTAAAAAAAAAGTATGCAATGAGTGAGGAGAGAGAGAGAAGGAAAAGAAAGAGAAAAATAACGAGTTTGGAAACAGATAAGGAAGGTAAGAGAGAAGAAGCAATTGAGAAAAAAAAAACCAATAAGCAAAACCAGAATGCAAAGAAAAATAAGGGGAAAAAAGGGAGAGCGAGAGAAAGCAGAGCATGTACCGTGCGGGGAGAGTGTTCTTCCCTGTCAGTTCTAGACCCCTGTATGTGTCCAGTCTTTTTCCCAGCCGGAGCAGAGGGTGCACCCTTGTTCTGGGAATTTCTGACCCTGCTCTGGTGCTTCTGCTGAGGGGTCCTTAAGGTGTCGTTTCTACCATGGTCCCCCTTCACCACATTCAAAAAGTCTGTTTGGATTGTCCCTTTGCATCATCCAAGTCAGCTATTGTTAAAATCAGAGACTATATCCCAATCTTATGGCAGAATTCCCAATCTTGCCTCTTTATTTGTTGAATGAATGAAAACGTCCTACTTCAGGAACTAGAAACCAGAATCCTCAACATCTTCAGGCCTGTGTCTTACACCCAGTTCCAGTAGAACTACTTACACAGAACAAACTGTTTTCCTTGGAATTCCAGGTTAAGAAGTAGCTATCAGAGTATTCACTGCGGTCCAGGATGCCCATGGACTGTGAGACTTTACCTTTTTTCCCCTCTACATCATTCTTTCAAAGGATTTTTTTTTGTTTGTTATTTTATGTAAAGGATTTTTTTATAAATAAAAATTTAATTTTTATTATGAGAAAATTGTAGATTCAAAGATCATGTATACCCTTTCCACAGCTATGCCATGGTAACATCTTCCAGAAGCTTTGTATAGTATCACAGCCGGGATATTGATAAGTAAGTAAGTGAAAGTTGCTCAGTCATGTTTGACTCTTTGCAACCCCTTGGACTATACAGTCCGTGGAATTCTCCAGGCCAGAATACTAGAGTGGGTAGCCGTTCCCTTCTCCAGGAGATCTTCCCAACCTAGGGATCGAACCCAGGTCTCCCATATTGCAGGTCCACCAATCTTATTCAGATTTCTGCAGTTTTTGTTTGTGTTTGTGTATTTAGTTCTTTGCAATTTTTATCACTCAGGTAGGTTTGTATATACAAAACCACAGTCAAAATACAGAATTCCATAACCACATACCTCTCCATTCTATCTCTCCCCATCCCTAACCCCTTTAACTACGAATCAGTTTTCCATTACTATAATTTTGTTATTTCAAAAATGTTTTATAGATGGAATCATACTGTATACAGACTTTTGGGATTGCCTTTTTTCACTCAGTGTAATTCTCTGGAGTTTCACCCAAGTTGTTATTTGTATCAAGTTTGTTCCTTTTTATTGCTGAATAATATTCCATGATATGAATGAACCACAGTGTACACTGTTAACCAATTAACCACTTACCTGTTGAAGGACATCTGGGTTGTTTCCAGTTTCTAGCTATTATGAGTAAAGCTGCTGTGAACATTCATGTCTAGGTTTTGTGTAAAAGTAAGTTTCTGTTGCTCTAGGATAAATGGCTAAGGGTAGAATTGCTAGGTTATATGTTAACTAAGTGTTTAGTTTTATGAAAAACTGTCCAGCAGTTTTCCAGAGTGGCTATATTCTTCTGCATTCCCCCCAGCAATATATGAATGGGCTGTTTCTTTTTTTAAAATATGTATTATTTTTTTTATTTGACTCTGTTGGGTCTCTGAGCTTCATTGTGGATATGGGATTCTTAGTTGCAACGTGTGGGCTTCAGCTCCCCGACCAGGGACCAAACCCAGGCCACCTGCATTGGGAGCGTGGAGTCTTAGCTGCTGGATTACCAGGGAAGTCCCAGAATGGTTCGTTTTCTTTGCATCCTCACCAGTGTTCAGTGTTGTCACTTTTTTTTTTAATTTTAGCTGTTCTGATAGGTATGTAATGATATCCTTAAGTTAAAATTAAAATTGTGGTCTTAATTTACATTTTTCTACTAGCTAATGTTATTGAACATCTTTTCATGTGCTTATTTGCCATCTGTATATCCTTTGTAAAAATTTTGCCCATTTTCTATTTGGATTTTTTTTTTTAACTCTTGAGACTTGAGAGTTCTTTATGTTCTAGGTACTGATTCTTTGTTGGATGCATAGTTTGAAAACATTTTCTTCCAGTCTGTAGCTTTTCTTTTCATCCTCTTCTGGTTCTCCTGTGAAGCAGAAGTTTATTTTGATGAAGTTCCTTTAATCATTTTTTTCTCTTACGGATCATGCTCTTGATGTCAAGCCTAAGAACACGTTGCCTTGCCTTAGAATCCAAAGATTTTTCTACTTTTTTTCCCTAACATTTTTATAGTTTATGTTTTACATTTAATTTAAATCTGTGATCCATTTTGAATTAATTTTTTGTTTAAGGTTTAGTTTGGTGTTCAGATTTTTTTGCTATAGATATCAAATTGCTCTAGCACCATTGGTCGGAAAGAGTATTCCTTCTTCTGTTGAATTGTTCTTGGAACTTTGTAAAATATCAGCTGGGTTTATTTGTGTGGGAAGATTCCTCTAAGAGTATAATGTGACTAACAACTATTTCTTACCACCAAGAATTAATAACTAGCAGTTTTTAGTATTTTGTTGTATTTGCTTCATCTTTTTATATAAAAGAAAGAATTAATTGTAAAGTTGAAATCCTTTCTAATCCTCACCATCAGTTCTCACTCCTCAGAAGCAGTCACTAGTATGAATGTGGTATGTTTCCTTCCAGATTATGTTTATACCCTTACATATACATTCATACCCATAAATAATATAGAGTATTACTTTACGTGGGTGGTCTTTGTAATTTTTTTTTTTTTTGCTTTTAATCAATATATATGCAGATGACTTTTTCAGAATCAAATAATACCAAAGAAAAAAGTAATGAATGACAAACAGCAGTCTCCTGCCTTACCCTCACTTCCACTCCTGTTGTCATCCATTTTCAACTTTTGCAGTTGTTTCTTTATTTCAGTTTGTTTCATCTCTTTCAGGTCTCCAGGAAACCTAGAGAAGAACCGCTATGGGGATGTACCCTGCCTGGACCAAACTAGGGTGAAGCTGACAAAACGAAGTGGCCACACTCAGGTAGAAAGATAAATGTCTTTCAGGAGCACTGGGGGAAATGTAAGCCTCTTCCAAAGTGAAGCTGGCTAATACTGTGGTAGAAAGAACATAAATTCTAAGCCAGAGAGAGAAGGTTTGAGTTTTAGACTACATACTAGTCTGTTACCATATGAAAGTCCTTTTATGCTCATCTCATAGTACTAGGTGGAAATTAAGTGAAATACTTTATGTACATGCTGATAGCCCAAAGTCTGGTATATTACTGTAGGTACTCAATAAATTATTTCTCCTTTTACTCTTTAGTTATAAAGTCATAGACATGTCATCTACCTTACTGGTGAGGGTATATGCATCAATACCAGATGACTCATTATAAGTGACCTCTGATTTTTCCATCTAGAAGATCTGACAAACATTTTAGACTAGTGTATGCGTGGGCTTCCCTGGTGGCTCAGATGGTAAAGAATCTGCCTACAATGCGGGAGACCTGTGTTCGACCCCTGGGTTGGGAAGATCCCCTGGAGGAGGGCTTGGCAACCCACTTCAGTATTGTTGCCTAGAGAATCACTATGGACAGAGGAGCCTGGTGGGCTACAGTTCAAGGGGTCGCAAAGAGTTGGACATGACTGAGACTAAGCACAAAAGAGATGAATTGGTCAAATGCCTATATTATTTAGTATTGATTCAATCATATCTGTACATATTAAAAATCACATATATTTAGTAGGGATATTTAGTGAAAATGTTATTCAGACTCTTCACATACATCTTTAACATCTGTTTCCTTTTGTCCTTATTTGAGCTACTTTTTGAGTCAACCTAACACAGTTTTCCAGAGCACATCTTTTTATTTCCTTTTTTAAGTGTATTGTCACTGGAAAATTCATCCTAAATGAGAAAAAAATCTATAACATTAGCACAGTTTTTTCTTTTCTTTCATCCTGTATCTCATGCATCCTCTATAGCATAATCATTTACTTAATTCTTTTTAAAGTCCTCTTTAGTATGACTTGTTTACAGCGACATCCAAAACTTAAAATTTTGAGGTTAGCAATTAAATAGGTATTATATTTCTTCTTTTTTCCTTCTGATACAACAGTTCTGTCTGGTGACCTCTATACACATCAAAAACCAGCATTGATTGAGGTTCCTGTTCACAGTAAAGGAGTTTAAATAGTGCCCCTTAACATAACACACAGTATAAGGACTTGTTATATCCCTCCTCTTTTTTCTGGAGGATAATTCTTAGGAAAATCATTGACTTATATTTGGGCATATATGATACATGAGTCAGGACCGTGGGATCATGGTTTTAATCTCGTTGACCCTGCTGTTTCAGTCCATAAACTGAATTCATAACCCTGTCTAGGATCCTTACAGAGGGTTTTCCTGCAGTGGTATTAGCTGAGAGTCTGCCTGATTGAAGGCAAATTCATCAGTATTACTGAGTTTTGTCTTAGTTGAATTGAGGCTCTAGAGTCAGAGATATCTGAATGTATCTGTCTTATTGACTGCTCTGTCTCCAAGACCTAGAACAGTGCCTGTCATGTATCAAGACATTCAGTAAATTATTTTTGAGTGAATGAGTAAACCCCAGTGTACCAGGAGACTATTCTAGTCATCGTGTAATTAATCTGAAGATCATCACTTCAGTTAATACTCCCTCTCCATACTACAAATATTGGCAGAGGCTTTTTTCCACAGTGTGGAAGATTCAGGTTTGTTAGTGAATTGTTTAGCAGATTTATATATACCTGGGATTATATTTCTATTGAACCTGGCCCATAGCATAATATGTGTGCTGCTGTGGTTCTTCCTCCTGTTTCAGGTTGCCCCCAAGTCTGCATTTTATATCTGAGGTCATTTTCAGTTTTTAATATCTAATGATTCTTCTGAAATTGCTGGTTTTAATTCCTAGTGCTCTCAGAGACAAGGATGCTAAAAACTGGTATCCTTAGTTATAAAGAAATAAGTCTCCTTTAAAGAAGTGCCATTTCTTTTCAAAGCATGAGGGTAGCTCCAAGTATGACAGCTTATATATTACTTATACAATAGTGTTGATTGTCATGAACCAGCTAAATCATTTGTACTTTTCTATGCCTTCTCACCTGGGCCCTTTAGGGTCCCATCTGAGTGCGCCAGGCAGAACAGAGGATGGGCTTTGGCTGACTGTGGGTGAGGCCTGGATTAAGAAGCCTGGTTGGGGTGAGTGAGACTTTTAGCTTGCTGGGTCCACTGCGTATGTTCCATTAGCTTAGTGAAGGTGTCCAAATTGGGGTAGAGCACTAGTAGTATAGTATGAGGTCACTACCAGTTGCTGTGGGAGAAGAAAAGAGCAGGAAACTCTTGACTGAATAATCAGTGGGAAGATAAATTGGTAGACTGACTATCTAATGAACATGCATCCAAATAACATGGATTTGACCATGAGATGGAGATGTTTTCTTTTTGCAGTTGAGCCATGCACCTTACATGATCTTAGTTCCCTGATCAGGGATAGAACCCAGCTTACATCAATGAAAGCCCTAGGTCCTAATCACTGGACCACCCAGGGAATTCCTCAGAGATGTTTTCTGAGGGTGGCTGCGGGGGTACTGACAGTTCAGACTGTCCTCCAAGTGTTGGAACCAGTGGCGAAAGGGTTGATGGGGAGTCGTTTTGATCTATCTAGACTGGAGTGGAGTATGGGTTTTCCCTAGTTTCCCGTTGAAACATCTTTACTTTTGCCCTGTAACCCTTCATGTCCTCTAATACCCATCCATCCTAGCTGTGAGATACTCTCAACTAGCTATTTTGTGACTTGAGGCTGTAGCTGCATCTGTTTGGCTTTTTTATCAGCTTGGACTAAATAGTGTTGACAGAGATCTTGTGAGGAGGTAGAATAAAAACAATAAAAATTTAAGCCTATATAATTTCCCTGATGGCTAATGATGTAAGTAGACGGAGGACATTGGGAGATGGGAGAAGGCCTGCAGAAGAGAGTGCATCACAAGCTGTTCATTGAGATTCTGCTGAAGGTGTGTGGCTTTTGCTTTGTGTTAATTTAGGCAGTAACAGAGCCTGGGTGTTTGGCCCATGCTGTTGATGGTCCTAGGTGTGAGGTGTAACTTTCTTCCTTCTCCAGTCACACTTTGCCTTTTGTGTCTCACCACGTGGACAGGATGTTCCTGCTCAGGTTGGTTGGCTTGCCTCTGTTCTGGGTTTGGTTCTGAGCTGCAGTGCAGCAGTCCTAAGGGACTTTTTTCTTTTTTTTAATAGCAGCTTTACTGAGATATCATACACATACCATACGGTTCACTCTTTTAAAGTGTACAAGTCATTGGTTTTTAATATATTCTTAGAGTTGTGCAACTATCACCACAATCAACTTTAGAACATTTTCATCACCTGAAAAAGAAACTCACCTTGGTAGTCACTCCCCATCCCCCAAGCACATCTACTCTTTGTGTACTCTTTTTGCCTTTTGTGGACATTTCACGTAGAGTCATACAATACGTGACCCTTTGTGTCTGGTTTCTCTCACTTAGCACGTTTTCAAGGTTCATTCATATTGTAGTATGTATCAGTATTTCACTCTTTTTTACTACTGAATAATATTCCATTGTGTGTTTGGAAATCCAGAAATCCACATTTTAAAAAACATTTATTTATTCATTTGTTTATTTTTGGTTGTGCTGGGTCTTTGTTGCTGTACTCAGGCTTTCTCTGGTTTCGGCAAGCAGGGGCTACTCTAGTTGCAGCACACAGGCTTCTCATTGCAGTGGTTTCTCTTGTTGCGGAGCATGGGCTCAATAGTTGTGGCACATATGGGAGCTTTCCAGACCAGGGATCGAACCCATGGTCCCCTACGTTGGCAGGTGAATTCTTAACCACTGGATCAAGAGGGAAATCCCTACATCACATTTTATTTATCCATTCCATTAGCTGATAAACAATTGAGTTGTTTCTGTTTCTTGGCTACTATGAATGATGCTGCTGTGAATATTTGTATATGAATTTTTTTATGTAGATCTGTGTTTTCATTTCCCTAGGGATTAGAATTGCTAGGTCATATGGTAGCTCTGTATTTAACCTTTTGAGGAAATGCCGGACTGTTTTCTAAAGTGACTGCACCAGTTTATATTACCACTACTGATGTATGAGGATTCCAGTTTCTTCACATCTTTGCCAATATTTGTTGTTATCTGTTACCTGTAGCCATTCTAGTGGGTGTGAAGTGTTATCTCATTGTGGATTTGATTTGCATTTCTCTGATGACTAATGATGTTGAGCAACTTTTCAGGTACACATTGGCCATTTGTATATTCTCTTGGAGAAATGGCTATTCTGTTTCTTTTCCTATTTTAAAATGAGTTGTCTTCTTAGTGTTCATTTGTGAGAATTCTTTATATAGTCTAGCTACAAATCCCTTATAAAATGTGTGCATTCTGTGGGTGGTTTTTTCACTTCTTGATAGTGTCCTTTGAAGCACAAAAGTTTTCTATTTTGCTGTAGTTCGATTTATCTGTTTTTTTCTTTTGTTGCTTGTGCTTTTGCTGTCATATCTAAGGAGGCTTTGCCTAACCCAAGGTCACAAACATTTATTACTATGTTTTCTTCTAAGAGTTTTATAGTTTTAGCTCTTACATTAGGTCTGCAATCCATTTGGAGTTAGGTGTTTTTTTTTTTTGTTTTTGTTTTTGCTGTGCTGTGTGGCCTGCAGAATCTTAATTCCTTGACCAGGGATTGAACAAAGCCCACAGCAGTGAAAGCTTGGAGTTCTAACCACTGGACTGCCAGGGAATTCCCTGAAGTTAGGTTTTTGTGTATGATGTGAGAAGAGGGTAGGCTTGATTTTCCTGCATGTGGATATCCAGTTGTTGCAATAACATCTGTGCAGGTGAGGTTTTGGATTGGTCCTTTCACTCCTTCACTGCCTGACAAGAAGAGAAAATCCAGACCTTGAGTTTTATTTACCTAGTACATCATTTTCCTACCCAATTGGTATATTCCACACAAATGCAATGATATTTCCTTTTTATCATTAGACGGATTACATCAATGCCAGTTTCATGGATGGCTACAAGCAGAAGAATGCTTACATTGGTACACAAGGTAAGTTAGTCTGCTGTTCACAAATTGATTTTGTATCATCTACCTGTGATTGTTTGCACCAGGGGATAGCATAATTTTTAAAGGAAATGGTAACTTGAGGTGATGTTGCAGCCTCTAGATCTTGTGAAAGTGAAAGTCGCTCAGTCGTGTCCAACTCTTTGCGACCCCATGGACTATACAGTCCATGGAATTCTCTAGGCCAGAATACTGGAGTGGGTAGCCTTTCCCTTCTCTAGATCTTGGTCTTTCATAAAGATTGAGGGTTCTTGAAGAAGGCAGATGAGAGGTGTAGAGTTTCTTTACCAAAAGTGCCTAGAAACTCATTGCATAGAGATAAACTAGAGATTTGAACACACAACATTACTACAAGTTTTTGGATTGAGTTTTAGTGTTGCTGACCCAGGGGAATGGACATCAGAATTGACTGGCTAGTGAGATTGTCTTTATGTCGAGTAGGACATAAAGAAATGGCAGTGGACTTCCCAGAGATTGAATTCAGTCTGTGAATGGGTGTTGCTGGCTTAAGAGACTTTTGCTGGTCTGTGTACCCTTACAGAGTATACCAGCGGCCTCTAATACGGATAGTCTTTGCTAAGTCTGACAGTGAAGTATTGGGCTCTAGGAGAATTTCAGATGGAGTTTCTGTTAATGCTCGTGTGGGCCCTAGTACTACTTTTGACTTGTTCTCTGCCGTCTCAAGAATACCAGGTTTCCTTCAAAGAGAGTGTTAAGAAATCATAACATATGAGAATAAGAGAGGCCATCATATGGATTTAAGGCCCTTTGACCATTGTGGAGTATGACCAGCAAGAGATCTGGCCGGTACCTCCTTAACCAAGTGATCACACTTAGTATCACCAATAGTGGAGAAACAGATATATGCCTCCTGTTCTGACACAATGAGAACTACACAATGTAACCTTTGTTGTATGTTGTCAGTTTTTAAGTCTGAATCGGATCATGAGAAACAAACCTGAGAAATCCAGATTGTGGAACATGCTAGAGAACTGGCTTAGATTCTTTCAAGTTAATGCCATGAGGGAAAAAAAAGGGAGGGATTAAAGGAGACTAAAGAGTTGTTGATCTCCAAAGGCAGTGTGTCGTCTATAACTCAATTTGGAAAAATAATTTTTAAGGACAAAATATTGGCACAGTTGGAGACTGTATATTAGATAGTATTATTGTATTAATGTTTAATTGCTGCAGTGTGATAATGATATTGTTCTATGGAGAATGTTCTTCTAAATACATGTTCAGGTATTTAGGAGTGAAATGTCATGTCTGAAACATATTTTTAAATAATAAAAAAGAAAATATGTGTTGTGTATATGTAGAGAAGGCTTTGTAAAATAATAGCTAAAAATGATAGCCTTCAAGCTAAAGAATGTATGCATACATTGTGCTGTATTTTTTTTTTTCAACTTTCTGTAGGTTTCAAATTTTTCAAAATAGAAATTGACGGAGAAGAAAAGGAAAAGGGCCTTTGGATTTTTGGTACATTGTTAATTGGTCTGATGGTCACAGGCTTATTTTTCCTTAGGGGGGACTACTACCTCCAGAAAGTGTCCTTTAAGACCTTAGGAAGAAATAAGAGAACTATCAGGAAAGATTTTTGGCAGGTATAGAATAGGATGTGATCTACCTGGGAGTAAGGAGATGTCTTTGTTGAGGATGTCTGTGGCATGGGTGAGTTTCTGGAGGGTACGGATCAGCTCTAGGGGCCTCAGAGTGCTCCAACTTCCTAGAGTTGTTGGTTACACAGGAATTGGATCCTTTAGGCTGGCTCTGAAGGCCCTGTCCAGGAGAGGAAACTCATCCAGAAGTATGAAAGAGATTTCTTGAGTTAAGCACTGATCACTTAGAAGGCATCAGCACTGTTAGGACTGGAAAATGGTTGGTTTGATTTATCTGGTTAACCTTCTTGGCTATATTCTGTATTCTGATTTTTATTCATAATAGTTCTATTGTTATTTATGAAAGTATCTATTTTAAATATATTGGCTATATAATTGCCATCTAATTATTATAGAGACTCTGCAAGGAAGGTTTATAAATCCATGAACAAACTGAAGCCCAAAAAGGTTAAGTGACCTTGGATCACACAGCTAGTAAGTGGCAGAGCCAAGATTTGAGCACATGTCTTCTTGATTCAAACAGAGAAGCCAGGTTAGTGGATTGTTTCACCCACGTCTGCATAAACTGCTGACTTTGTTTCTTTGAGATGTCTACTATTAAAGAATCTAATCTGGGGAAGCATAACTTTGTTCTCTCGTATGCTTCTGAGGAAACTGTGACCCTTCTCTGTCCAGCCTGAGTCTTGAGTGGTGTTGTCAGGTGCTCTGTGTGGCAACAGCAGCTTTGCCAGTGGTTTGAATGTGGAAAACAAAGTCTATGAGAGCTACTGTGATGCAGAACAGTGAGATGCGACCAAGGCTAAGAGTCAGAGGTAGAGAAAGGGTGCTTTTATTATCTTCTTGACATGCATGCTATAGTGATGTCATGTCCATTGTGGGAAAGGAAGATGAAAATCACTCATAACCCTGAGACTCAGAGAAAGTGCTGGCATTTTGCAGTATCTTCTTCTAAACGTCATTCTGTGTATACAAATAGATGTGGACATATAAAATACCTAACCAAACAGGCATTTTCTAGAAATTATTATTATTTTTTTGATAGTTATCTTGTGAATACCTTTCCATAGCAAAAATACAGATCTTACAGTATCACCTTTATGGACTGCTAAAATTTGGGTTATGCCATAATTTAACATCCTCTCTTATTAGACATTTGGCTTGTTTTCAAGACTTGACATGCTTCTGGCAGTGTCCCCTTCTGCACAGAGGGAATTCTAGTATCATAAAATGTTAGTGCTTCTTAAAAGACTGTAGCAAAAATGGCAGTGAAATTAGCAGACTTCCAGGACCAAATCAACCCATGGCACTGCCCTGCTTCCCTGAAAGCAAAGGCAGAAGAGGTGCTGAAAAAGCATAAGGAATTATCCTGAGCCGTTACTCACTTGATTGAAAGGGAGTTATCGGCTCACAAGCATCTTCAAAGTTCCTGCTGAGTGCCCAGCCCTGTACAGGTTATGACTCTAAAAGGGGAAGTTGATGACAAGGCCCTTGCCCTCAGCACCACGTTTGGCTGAGATGTGACTGCTTCTCACAAAGTAAAATGCCTGATGTAAGACCATGTACATCAAATGGTTAAGCTGTTTTGATCCAACTGTGCCATCAAAAACTGAGAGGAGAAGGAGCCCTACAAAGAATGTGGTGTTAAAAGAAAGATTTAGGGAAGAGGCAGTACTTGAGTGGAGAAGGACATGGCAACCCACTCCAGTATTCTTGCCTGGAGAATCCCATGGACAGAGGAGCCTGGCAGGCTATGGTCCATAGGGTCGCACAGAGTCAGACACGACTGAAGCGACTTAGCGTGCATGCATGCGGCACTTGAAAATGGGCGGCATGGTGATCATTTTGCAGTGTATAGGAATATTGAATCAGCATCTTGTGCGCTGGGAGCTAACATAATGTTGTAGGCCAATAATACTTCAAAACAAACAAACTCATAGGAAAAGAGATCATATTTGTGGTTATAGGGGCAGGGATTGTGGGAGAGGGAAATTGGATGGAGATAGTCAGAAGGTACAAATTCAGTATAGGTTGAATAAGTACTGGGGATGCAATGTGCAGTGTGATAAATATAATTAACACTGTTGTGTGTTATACCTAAAAGTTAAAAAAATAAAACCTGAGTTCTCATGATGAGGAAAAAAGTGTTTTTTGGTTTTTTTTTTCTTTTTAAATTTTGTATCTATGTGAAATGATGGGTGTTCATTAAACTTTATGTGGTAATCATGTCATGATATACTTAAGTCAAATCATTATGCTTCCTATACCTTAAACTTACACAGTGCAGAGTGCTGAGTATGTCTTAAAAAAACTAGAAGGGGGAAGAAACAATGGGTAGAAAGTCAGTGGCAGTAGAGCTGAAACAGCATGAACAGAGGAACAGAGGCAGAAGTGAGCATGTGTGTCTATGTTGTGATGAAGCAAAACTGGCAGGGGTATCCAGAATTAGACTGGAAGCGAAATTCATATTGAGAAAAGTAAACCAAAATGATATTATAGGAACTTAGAGAAAAAAATGATGCAGTCCTTGTGACTATGAATTTCGGTAGGAAGACAAAAAGATAAAAATCAAAAAATTCCAAAGACAAAAATAATCTAGGACTTGGTGGCTACTCCTGGGAGATGAAAGAAATGAGTGAGTCAGAGCTGGAATTTCCAACTTTTTGAAACTGAATGATTTAAGAATGCCAGTACTGTTAACAGAGTTGAGAAAGTATAGAGAGAAAGCTAACTTTGAAGGAGACTGGACTGCAGACATGCAGGGTCTGAGTATATCAGATGATGGCAGAAGGGAAGGTTAGGTAGGGAAGGGAAGGTAGGGAAGGGAAATGGTTAGGTAGGCAGCTGGTGATTATAAGGCTTAGATGGGGTGAAAACAGCTGAAGACATGTACACAGTTGACACTGTCAGGCTGGATGTGGTAGCTGAGGCCCTGATGATGAGGCTGTAAGAGGCTATACAACAGTGCTTCTTAAACGGTAGCCTACCTACAGCTTTATCTGGGAACTTTGTTCAAATGCAGAGTGTGCATTTCTGACACTCTCCCATATGATGCTGGTGCTGCTTGCCCAAGCCCCACCCTGAATAGCAGGGATGTTGTCAAAAGGCAGGGAGCCAGAAAATGTGCTTTGGAGTTAGTATCTGGGAAAAAACAGAAGAGCCTGAGGAGGAAAGAAGTGCTTCCCAGGGTTATGTTCCTTGTTTTGTTCTTCCATTGTAGGCCCTTTGGAGAATACCTACCGAGATTTCTGGCTTATGGTATGGGAACAAAAAGTCTTGGTGATTGTCATGACCACCCGGTGAGTTAATCCCTTTACTACTGATTGCCCTTCTTTTCTACCCACCCCCCAACCCCCAAGCATGGGTGATTATAGAGGGGAGTTTAGCTCTTAGAAACAGGGTTAGGAAAGCCATGACAAAGAGTTTGAGATGTCTTAGTTTTTTCCTCAGCTGACCCGGAGCTAACAGAGCCAGGGTATGGTGGAGGTTGGTAGATCTAACTTGTTATAGCTTTAATCCTTGGCTCTGGTGACCTTGTGCAAGGTACATCCTATCCTTAGGTCCTGGCCTTAACTACTTACTAGAGGAAGCACTGGGAAACACATGGGGCAGGCCACTTCTAGCCTCCTTCCTACTTATAAAGGTCAGCTGTCTTCCTGGCTTCTGAATTACCAGTTCCCCTTAGTTCTCCCTTTCCTTGCTACTTTGGACCAGTTTTCTTCTGGTTCGTATTTGCATCTAGAGAAGAACTTGCCAAAAGGAGATGTAAAACATTATAGGTCTGCAGGAAGCTCTTGATGAAAGGAATAGTTTTGAAATTTTGTTGTACGTATCTGCCAAAACTCAGGAACTACTATTTCATTAGTATCATTATTATTATGATAATTATAACCCGTTTTGGATGAGGGGGAAAAAATTCATGAGAATGTTTGCTTGGATCCCTTCCTCATGGCACTGTTACAAGCCACCTTTGACTTGGAGAGGAGGTAGTGGAGGAAGTGCCCCCTGGGGTACTTTGGAGCCACTGAAGAGTAGTGAGGGTGGACTTCAGGCTTTTACATAAACCTTCTGTTGGCATCTCAGGAACCATTTCTTTCCTAGTCCTCTATCAGCCAAGGGCTCTCACTGGGGAACAGAATGAACAGTAACTGAGGTACAGGGCAGAGAGCTCAGTCTGGCCCACCGTATTTTCTCTACTGTCTTTGCCCACCCAGTATTTATACCAGGTATGTGTGGAGTACCAAGAGGTATCAGGAAAGGGACCAAATGGATGTAACTGGTGCTCAGTAAATGTTTGCTTAATGGGTACATGAGGAAAATTTAGCTGTTGTCTAGAAAGAAGGTTTTCTTTTTCTGCCAAGAAGCAAAGGGATATATAGAAGCAGTGCAAGAGATGACATTTCTGCCTAAGGGTACAGCAGGTCCATGGGTGAGCAAGGTTACTGCTGTGGAAGGATGGAGGCTTATTTTTCTCTGCATGTCTTCAGCTTTGAGGAGGGCGGCAGGAGAAAGTGTGGCCAATACTGGCCTTTAGAAAAAGACTCTCGGATCCGATTTGGCTTCCTCACCGTGACCAATCTAGGCGTGGAGAATATGACCCATTATAAGAAAACAACGCTAGAAATTCACAACACAGAGGTAAATTTTATTTTCTCACTCTCTTGAAACTGGGGGGAAAACCTATACTATAAAGAAAATCTCCAAAGGGAATAGGCAGGATTCCAGAGAACTTAGAAGTGGCTTCCATTCTTCTGGAAGCAGGATTGGGATATTCAGCTCAGAGCCAAAATAGCCATATTGTCTCAACAAATAGTGGCATTATTTAGGAATGAAACTTTTTATAACATAAGAAATCTGGATCATTTAATAGAGGAATTCTGCCCTCTCCAGACAGTTAATCTTCTCTTTGGGTTTGCAGAGAAGCAATTGTGGGGAAAGTTCGGAGTGTTAGCAGCCCTGATGGAGGGAACTCCAGAGGACTGAGAATCTGGAAAAGCCAAAGGTAGTCAGGGGCACAGAGCAATGACCTCATTAACTTTTGCTTCTTTTTCTATCCAAGGAACGGCAGAAACGCCAGGTGACCCACTTTCAGTTCCTGAGCTGGCCAGATTATGGTGTCCCTTCCTCGGCAGCTTCCCTCATTGATTTCTTGAGAGCCGTCAGGAACCAGCAGAGGCTGGCTGTCAGCAGCATGGGAGCACGCGCCAAAGGGCAATGCCCTGAGCCACCCATTGTGGTCCATTGCAGTGCGGGCATTGGCCGGACAGGTAATGCACGGGATGCAGCTCTTGAAGCATCCAAAGGAGCTAAGGGTGGGGGAGGAATAACAAAGCTCTTAGTTGCCAGAATGTGAGTCTTTGATCTGTTGGTGGTGAATTGCCATGAAAAAAAGTTCCTCTTTAATGTCCTTTTAGTGTCCCTAGTGCTAGGTATACTGGCCAGAATGTACAGTTTATGAGCCAGGTCCTCTAGGGGTTGATGCTTTACGCACCCCTTCAACATGATTATCTTCTGATCCCATCACAGTCACCTGGGTGTCCCAGCAGCTGATCTGGGCTGTTGCTCTCTTCCCATCCCCCTGCCAGGGGAGGTCTCCACCCTGGGCCATGCTCTCCATTCTGGAACCAGTTAGCAGCTTTTGCCTTAATGGGATGAACATTGCAGGGACTGTTGGCCTTCCAGCTCAGAGGTTCCTTTGGGAGAACGTCAGGAAGAATAGGTTTGTGTTAGGTCTCTGGAGAAGTTGTAGAGTCTGAAAATTGGGGCCCAGATGTGGAAGCAGGGCAGGTGTGGGAGTGCTGTCATTCTCTGTGTCTGGGATTGAAGTAGAAGTCCTGCTTCCCACCTGCTCATCCTGTTACCCTCAGAGATGTCCTGGGAGACAAGAGGGCTTCTCATTTCTCTGGCCTTCAGCACTCCCTGTGACTCCTCCTTGAGTCCTCTCAGGCCTAAGGCCAGCTGGCCACCTGCCATGAGGCACCTTGCCATTGGATTCATTCATCGAGTCCTGCCTGGGTTATTTGGTAGAGGGAGGAAAAGAGGAGAGGCAGATCAGGTGTGACCACTTCCTTCCTTCCTTCAGGTACCTTCTGCTCACTGGACATCTGCCTGGCACAGCTGGAGGAGCTTGGCACCCTTAATGTGTTCCAGACAGTGTCCCGCATGAGGACCCAGAGGGCCTTCAGCATCCAGACCCCTGAGCAGTACTATTTCTGCTACAAGGCAATCCTGGAGTTTGCAGAGAGGGAGGGCATGGTGCCCCCCAGCCACAACCTCCTGGCCATGGAGGGTCAGTAACTGTCCCACGAGCCTCCTGTCTGCTGGCCAGCCTTCCTTAAACTACCCTGGACACCGCTGAGCCTATAGGTTGCCATCAGTTACGCTGAAGCCATGGACCAGCCTCTTTGTTGTGTCTCCCGGCGCACGCGTGCACGCAAGGCAGCCTTTCCCTTTGGCTAGATAGATGTGGTGAAATTGCCACTAGAAAGGGCCAGCAGCAATGTGTTCTTAATTTCTAGCACCTGCTATTGAACTGTGCCTTATTAAAACCAAATTGTGGCTATCAATATTTGCCAGGGGCCCCGAGGTAAGTGGGGAAGGAACCTCCCTCCCCCCTTTCCCAATGCCATCTCCTTCTCAAGATCTCTTTCCATTCCTTCCCTTTGCTAGGATTTGATGGGGAGGTTTGGTGAGCACCCACCTCCTTCCCAGAGAGCTTGACCAAGTTACATATTCTAGAGAACGTCCTGAGTGCCAAGCACGTTTATACCTAGGGCGTGTATTCCAGTCTTTTCTGTCATTCTGTGTGTGTGCGTGTGTGTATGTGCACTTACGTGTATGAGTCCATATGTACGTGTGTATATAATATATATTGTATGTGATAATATGGTCGTATTCTATAAATACATATACACAGAGATACTCCTTTGTAGAAGTTCCTGAGGCTTCTTGCTGTAGTTCAGGACTCCTTGCTTCTTGGTTCTACTGTTTATCCTGGACTAGCTGGGGCTGGGGGATCATGTCTCCTGTTGTCAGACCACAGAGTGGTGGAAGAGGAGGACACACACATCCACTCTCCGTGCTCCTGCCACAGGCCCTCATCCTTACATAATGACTTCTCTCTCTTCAGGATGCTGCCTGTTGGAACCAGGAATACTGGTTTGTGGTGACACTGGTTTAATTCAGCGTGGATTGCCCTTATCTAATGAGTTTTCTCTGTTTACTTTGCCAATTTTGGGAGTAGACCTCCACTGTGATTCCAGACCATCTGTCCCCTCTCCCTCTTCCTCAGGGATTGGGATCTGGGCAGAGATGAATTCCCTGAGCAGCGAGAGCCAAAAGCAATCGGTACGAAGTCTTAGAAGGAGAGAGAGGGAGCCCAGGTGTGAGAGAAAGGAAACTCCATACTCTGAGGCTCCCTCCCTGAAAGAATGAGCTGGGGCCCCTTTCTCTCTTGCTGGAAGGTTCTTTGTCTTATGCAGCTTGGCCCTGTCCACTCAGATGTCCATCTCTTTCCTGCCTACTAGCCTGCCAGACCCTAGAGCTCAAGCTTGGTGGGTTCTGTGTCAATAAAAAGCTTAACCCCTGTCTGGGTGAAACAGTCCCCTACACTCACTGTTTTCCCCATTTACCCTACCTGTCTCTGTCTGCTCCCAGCCTACCAAGCCCAGTATGCCAGGGATGGGGCCAAGAGTCCCCAGCATTCCACATTCCCAAGAAAACCCCAGGAGTCCCTAAAATTTTTCCCCTATCACAGATGAGGTTGGCAGCTGATCAGACCTCAATAATTTTATACTGTAATAAGCTCTTTGAATGTATATATCCTTATTTTTACAATCTTTTCATTTTGTATTTAACGTCAATGGACTGAGTCAGATTCAGAAAATAATTGTAATGTTCATATTCAATATCTTACAGTGATACAGTTTTGTATTTACATATAAATATACCGACGTGATCAAATCCTTTTAGCTTCATCAATTTAGTAGCAGTCTGGGGCTGGGAAGGTGAGGAGGGGCTCCAAGAGCTGGTCTGGGAGGGACGGGGAGGCAGGGAGCAACCCAAGACTTAGAGCCTTTCAGTTCTGAGAGCCGCCCACCTTGCCCCAGGCCGTGGCCCAGCTCTGGGCAGACCAGGGACACCAGCACCAGCTGACTGCTTGCCAGGTTCCAGTCTCCATACTTGGTGATCCCCCCGCCCATACTTCCTTTAGACCTCACAGCAGTCCAGCGAGGTACTCTTCCTCCCTTCTGTTTCTGTGCTGATGAGGAAGGTGAAGTACCAAGGGTCACAGAGAGTGTTACAGTGAAGGTAAGGCTTATTAGCAGGTCCAGCTCTAGAACTGGAGCTCCAGTTGGTTTGCTCACAAAGCCTTTGACCTCTTTACAGTATGCTTTGTCTTTGGAAATTAGTTTTAAAATGTTCTTTTCAAAGTATGGACAGTTCTTAGGTCCCAGCTAGTTGATTTTGAGCCCCCTGATGTATGTAGAAGACTAGAAGGGTTTCTGACAGAGCTGGTGACTGATTCTCCCAGATAGGACCTCCTGTTGTAGGCCCTCAAGTCTGCAGCATACCAGAGGGGTCATTCTCTCAGGGATACCCCATACATTTGGATATACTGGTACCTCTGTGGGAAGATCTTGAGTCATTTGCATCTCTCTCAGAGCAGAACCAGAAGCTTTGTCCATGTAGAACCACTCCCCATGCTGTGTAGTTACTTCCTGTCAACTAGTGATACCTGCCCAGTTAGAGCCATTCTGGCCTGGGGTGTTCTTAATAAAAGTGACAGCAGCAAACATTTACTGGTTGCTTAACCCTGTTCCAGGTACTTTTCAAAGTGCTTTCTAGGTATTATGCACCCTCAAACCAAACTTTTGAAGTTGGTATTGACAGAAGAGACCTAACTGAGGCACAGGAAAATTAATCTGTCACAGCAAGAACTCAGACCTTTAAGGTTCCATCTCCTGATCTTCCAACAAAATTTCCTTGAGTTTCTTACCTTAATCAAGAGCTGAAGTATACAGCAAAAATTAAGCCAAACCTTTCTTTGGATGCAGGCAAGCATACTAGGTAGAGAGAGACACGTAAAATCTGGGAAATCAAAGTGGTTGGGGTTTGGTGAAATATGTAGGAAACAGAATTAATGATAAAAGATTTGAAGGAGGTAGCCTTGAACTGTCACTTCTTTGAAGAGACTGTAGCCCAATTGCTATGTAAACTCAGAAGTTATGCTTGAGTTCCTCATCGCACATCTGAGGTTATCACTTGCGAGGGCTCCATAAAAATGATGTTTCCTGGGTCCTACCCAGTAGGTGATTGAGTGAGTGGCAGGATGAGCAAACTTGTTGAACTACTGTTCATGCTCCTGACATAAATCTGAGAGAAAAGGATCAATGGCTTTCCCCTGCTATAGTCTACTTGTAGCCCTTTACCCATGAGATAATACTCAGTGTGAGCCTACCTGTGTTAGGTGTACAAGGAGGTAAAGAAAGAGGAAGACATGAGAGGAGCCCTGAATCTGTCCAGAAGTCAAGACTGTCACATATGAGATTTGGTGAACAAAGCCAGAGAACCCACAATCAAATACTGGATTTCACCATTGAGAACATACGATGAAGAAAGTGTTTAAGGGAGAGAGAGTACTGTACATAACTCAGGCTTTTGCTTCTGATTTGGTTGCTTTTTTTTTTTTTCCCCACTTAATTTACTCCCTCTGGGCTTAGTCCCTTCATCCTGCCCATCTCTGTTAGCTAGGATGAGGATTCCTGAGGTGAAGGGTACCCCAGCATCCTCAGCATGGAAGGGTCACCTTTGTCATGTGCAGGCAAATGACAGAATGTGACTGGTTCTTATGAGACTGGACTATTTAGCATCATACTTTGAGGAAGATGGGGCTCCTGCCTTATGATCTTCCCTTCTCTAGAGATAATCAGACACATATGGAAATTCTCACAAGTCAGACCACTGCAGGGAGGTGGGCCAGGAAGTATGGCCAGGTAGAAAAGTCTTCCTAGAGTAACTGAGCTCTTCGGTAGTTTTGAGGTCTCACCACTCAACTCAAAGCAGGTGCTAGCTTTTATTAAAAAAAGATGCTGAATTAAATGATCCTACTACAGGCCCTCCAACACTAAGGGTCTGGTTCTTTATTGGACAGTGCAAAATACCTACAGAGTAATCATCAGACCCTTCTCTGGTTGGGTCAGCTGCCACTTGGAATCCCCAGTTTTAGTTTATTTTCAAAGTCTCCTCTTTCAAGGTGCATCCACCTCCCTATAATCCCTCAGTTTCCTTCCCAAGGGGGCCAACCCATAGACCTTTAAGGTTTTTGTGTTACTACATGTGGGACAGACCGGGTGACTCAGACCCGAGCTACCAGAGCTCCCAACCAAGGTCTTAGGTTTGTCTCCAGCCTTGGTTACTACCAAGACTACTATCCACACACCATCATTAACTTACCAAGGACAAGAGCTAAAAGATCCACCAGTTTGGGAATCAGATTTTGTCTTGGGAGATACCCACTCTACAGTTACCATCACACAGACAGTTGTGAATATCAAGTGTTTTAAGACTGCACTGCTTTTAACTGACCACAGAGAAAATAGCTCCACAGATAGAAATCTAGCACTCTCAGAAACCTGTTGCAGTGTTTAGCCTTCTTTTACCTCTCACCATAGCTTTCATAAAATCTGTTTAAGCTAAGTCTGGTGTTCTGCAGTCTTAAATACTCTCATTTTTTTTTTTTTTTGGCTAAACCCAACATGGACAAAGCTAACTAAACCAGAAACCTAGAGTGTGTTGGATGGAAGGGGGAGACAATGATCCCTTCTCAACAACTTAGGGTAATAATATGCTCCTCCTAACATGGTAATATGTTCCTGACAGTTTTGGGGACTAAGATGAAGGTGAAAGTAGGAAAGCAAGACAGTGAGTTGTGTAGAGAAAGTAGTCAAAAAAGACACAGCGCCCTCTTCCCCACTAGGCTCACTTCTACCCTTCCCCTCGCATCAGAACCTGGCTCTTTTCTAAGCTAATGTATCAATAGTTGTCTTAGCCTCGTGACTGGCCAGATGCACAGCTGAGTCCAGCTCACCCATTTCATCCTGTGAAGTCTGTTTTACTTCCTTGACCTTTAATGATACCTATTCTGTGGGCAGCAGCGAGTGGACTACAGAGTAGGATGTTCAGAGCAGATGCTAGTCTGGAGATAGCAATTGGTGACTTAGTTTAGATAGAAGCTAGGAGCCTTGGAAGTGGGTGAGAACAAGAAGAATGAGGAGGGCAAGAAGAGAGGCGAGACCCTTGGGAGCCACCGATATTTAGGGGAGAATGGAGAAAGAAAAGGCTGGGAAAGATTCTGATTACTAGGCAGAGGTAACCAAGGACAAGACCAGGCTGTCTTCTCACACACTGGTGAGAGATGGGAGTGGCTGGGATGAATGACCAGGATTCAGAAATGGAACTTCACTAGTGACCCTGAGGCAGGAGGTGGCAAGGAGGAGACATGAGTGGGAAGTGAAGGAATAGTGCTTGGGCTCCACTTCAACCAAAGCAAGGCCCAATTTTTCCATGTTAGACCTTTGAGTAAGATTTCATTTAAACAAAAGAAACTGCTACCTTAAAAAAAAAATCATCAACAGCAAATAGGCCAAAGCAAACAGTTTGAAAGCATAAAGCAGAGTAAACTGAAAATAGTGTTACATCTTTTTTCTAGATTTGGGCTGAAGCGACCTAGAGGGGTCAACAGTGCCAAGCGAGGGCAAGACATTTCAAGGCACTGAAAAGCTGTCTTAAAACCCAGTTTAAAAATTCCAAGTTTTCAAAATCACCTAGAAACCAAAACATGGCATTGTTCAGTCGCTAAATCATGTCTGACTTTTTGCGACCCCATGAACTGCACGTCAGGCTTCCCTGTCCTTCACTATATCCCTAAGTTTGCTCAAACTCACGTCCATTGAGTCAGGGATGCTCAAAATATGGCATATGTACAACAATATAAGCCATCTGGCTGCCACAGAAATGAGGTTTCTAATTTATACAGTGGAATTTTGGGGTCCTTTAAGCCTATCCTGGTCTCCTCTCAAACTGGAACACCAGGGACTTTGAATGGCCAGGAAAAGAGGGAGTGTTGACAAAATAAAGGAAAAAAGGATCTGACAACCTTTGAGTGCTAGGCATACTTTATTTTTAATCTCACAATAACCCACTGCAGTAGGTATTCTTAGTTTGGTGGTGTTTAGCTGCTAAGTCGTGTTGGACTCATTGTGACTCAATGAGCCTGCCAGGCTCCTCCGTCCATGGGATTTCCCAGGCAAGCACACTCAAGTGGGTTGCTGTTTCCTTTTCCAGGGGATCTTCCCAACTCGGGAAGGGATGGAACCCAAGTCTCTGCATTGCAGGCGGATTCTTTACCACTGAGCAATCAGGGAAGCCCTATT